GATGAGAGGGGTCATCTGAGATTTTATGTGCAAGATTAATTATACTGTATGTCACTCTGTTAAACACATTATTGTATCCAAGGATGCGCCAGTAATCTTGCCACCAGTCCTGATCGATGAAAAGATAATACAATGTGCAAATAATGCATGGAAAATTAGAATAGCCAATTTTACTCTATGAAAGAATGAACAATCTTCTTCATCCTAGCGTTAATCCCACATCGGCAGGGTCCGCTTGTCGGCACGCCCGTCTCCATTTGGCGCGGTCATAGGTGTCCTCCGGGGCGACATTCACTTTCCGCATGTCTTCAGTGATCCAATAGCAGAGGTAAAAGTAGAATACATGCATAATATACACTGCATTGGTTTCCTCCAAGTTCGGGGGTGTTTTTATTATTCTATTAGTTTATTTGTGTATACGTTAAGATTATAGCAATCAAACTTGAATGGCTGAAATGTCAGCTGAATTAACATGGGATAAGACGAACAAAGGCATTCAAATATGATGATTTAAGGTCATTAACATACCATTTTAATTTTAGAGAGGACGTAAAGGTATTTAATTTATTATCTACACATATATATATATTTCTTGTTTGCTTTTTTAGTGGTTGTGCCAGACAACACAATTAATACGTCTCAGAACTTTGCTTCTTCAGTCTCATGAGTATAGTCATTCATATTCATAAGCTCATCGTGCTTTAAAATGTAAGAATTATTTTCAGCAATACATAAGTATAAGAGGTGCAGGTAAGCCTGTTTTTGCTGAATATGATTTTATCCTCCATCTGAATTATCCATCTGGTGATCCAGCTACTTGTTTATCTCTTTCAGATCCCTATATGAAGTGTTAAGATGAAACTATTGTTTGTAACACAATTGCTAGTTCCTAAAACGAGCTTCTGCTAAGCAGTGCAGGTTTCCCTACTTGCTATTTATGCAATACCAACTACCTGATATCTAGAGTTAGCTACCAGTGTGCAAAAGAGGATCATATGCAACAATTCTGAAATGTACTGTACCTGGACTGGAAATATACCTTTGCACAGGATTGTCTCTTAGCTCACTTACTCTAGGAAAGAATATCCTTGTGCACAGTCTTCTGCTAAACACTTGCCCCCACAATATCATTTTAGCTTTTTGGAGAGCCAGCCACTGACATTATAAATGAAAGTTCGTGGAGCTCTACACCTGATCCCAATCAAGAAAACCTACAACAAGCGTCCTAACATAAGGACCGATACACAGGTCCATCCACACTGGCATAACAATAATAACTTGCATTTATATAGCTCTTCTAAAGGATGCCAAAGTACTTTACGTGTAGGAGGACACCCATTTCATCCACCACTGGGGTGTGCTACTCTCTTCAGTGATGCACAGCAGACATGAGGACCAGCATCCTCAGTATATAGCAGGTCAGGCAAAGAAATGTTTCACCAATTGAAATAAGGGGGAACCTCAGGAAGGTCTGTCATTCAAGCCCAGAATGGAACCTAACCAGGACACCCCAACTCTTTAAAAAGAACCATTGTATCTTAATGGCTTAGACTAAGTAGTCAGGACCTTGGTTTGCTGATATGTCCAATAGACACAGCATGGTTTCCTGGTGCTCACTATAGTGAAGAGGCTAGGAAAGAGAGCTATCTTGAAATCAACATGCCCGATGACCAAGCATTATAACAGCGTGATGAGGAGAACAGCACATTTCTGCATGAGTCAAAGTCAAGCACAGAAATCTCTTTAATATATATGTATTTACAGTAAATGCTCAACACATTGTTTACATATAGATTACAAGTACCATTTAAACAAAAGTTCTGAGAAATAAAACTTAAAATAAAATGCAGTTTTACAGCATTTTTATTCAAAGCAAATTTGAATGAGTCCAGTGCACTGGGAAAAAACAAGATAAGCAGTATACTTCCGTATTATGTAAATGATACTGTGGTCTTAAACTAGCTAAACCAGTTTGATTCCTGTAACTGTAGACGCTCATTCAAATTCACAAAGCTTTCCACCTTTATGCCTGCTTACTTTTTCCTGCATTTACTCCATTACTTTAAACAATACTAATTATTTTCCTATCACCCTGTTCTTTCATCACGGCTTTTCCTTGAATCTTTATTAAAGTCAAGCAGCTAACTTGACTTGATTTAAGCAAAAAAAGGTTGGTTGTATGTTTCGAATACAATGAGAAAGTATGTGGTTATGTAATATAGGAGTTCCAGAATTAAAATCTTATCAGTTTATCTTAGCAGAATGTCTGTAGGTTTGATTATTTTATTTCAGATGTATTTTATCTTATTTTCTGTACCCAATGGAACATGCAGTATATTAAAAGAGAAATATATTATCATATTGCATTAATGAAATTGCACTACATTATATTTTTTGGCTTGAATATCACATTCCATAAGCTTCCATCAGTAGTCCTTGAAAACTGCACTACTATAAAACTTCTCATATCAAGGAAGGATTAATATCCCTCACCTACTGCTACTGACCCGGTGGCTGAGATAAAACACTCAAAGTCAGCAGGAAGAACTTTAGGACCTTTTTTATTTTTTGCTCCTCAAGGGTAACTATTATTGTCTAAAATGATAAAGAATAGTAATCACTTTATCCACCCATTTATGAAATGCAGTCAGCATTAGAAAACCTCTAGATTAAGTTATATGTTCCAAAGATGGAATCACTTTCGATTACTGATAAATCGTATGACACTGGCCGGATCCACTTTGCTTGACAGAAATGACAACTCATTCATGCAATAATATGCATTATCTGTAGTATCTGTATCGATATTCATCCATAGACGTCGAAGGCTAGCTTTGTAATAAATAGTGTTATTTTTATAGAACGCAAATCAACGGAGTTCTGACATTTCCATAAATTTTAATACGAATAAGCCCATAAAAAGAAGTTTAAAGAATCTCCATTGAAAAGCCAAGTACAACACAGCCCACTGCTCCAAAGTAGGGTTACTGCACAATCCCCAGGTTGGGGAAGGGCTAAAAATACAGCCTTCCACATGTTTGAGGTCCACCGGAAAAAAATCCCCGAACTGCAAAATCTTTTTAATGGTTAAAAAAAAAAACGTTATTTCCAACAACCCAGTTTTAGCTGTGAGGCGTCCCGGATGAGCTAGATTGTACTGTGCCAAGTGTCTTGTGAGCAGTATGCAAGGTTCAAGTTTCGCGTGTACACTTTCTCTTCTCTCTCCATCCTGAATCACATCCTTCTCCCTCGGTTTCACTACTTTCCTCTCTTTTCCTGGAGCCTCGGCCCCCTAACTCTCCATCACACACGCACTCACCCTCTCTCTCACGCACACTCACTCACAAAAAAGACCGCACATGTTGGCTTTTTGGAGAAAAAAAAAACTGCTCTCTTTGCCCCCCTAGACTGCCGTCTGTTTCCCCCATCCCCGTTTTCTCCCTTCCCATTTCTCCGCGCCTTGCCTGAGTGGCTGTTGCGCCCTGACGGCGAGAGGAAGGCTGTTTCCTGCATCCCTACTCCTCCTCTCCTCCTCTCCCGCTTCAGCGCCTGGCTTCGCTTCTGCGAGCGAAATCACCATGGAAACTAGATGATTCCCAGCCGCAGGAGAAGAGGCAGAGAGAATGGAAAGACCCTTCGCCCGGAGAAGCCATTCTGCCACAGACACCCCTGCCTCTGTAAATCAATCCCATAAAAGGCACATTTAATTCTTTAAAATGATTTATTTCTGTAGCACGGGTAGCTCCTGGAGCCCGTGCGCTCACCGGCGCAACCGCGACACCAACACGTCCGTCAAGCCCGTGAAATGAAACTTTTTAAACGGAATACCATTTTATATAGCTATGATTTAGGGCTGACGCCCCTCCCTCCATCGTTTCCTTTGGTAGGAATGAACGGACACTTAAATATTATTCGCTCAATCTATTGATTACGTATACCGTTACCTACAATTTACGTGCAAACGCCAAAATCCGTTATTTTTTTCTGCTTTCTCTCCCTCAAACACAATAAAAACCGATTCATACATTTGAGTGATGTTAAAAAAAGCCTTTCTTATACGACCCCTTGGCTGAAAATGCATCCAGTTTCAAAGAACATCTGTCCTTTTCCCCCCAAAACCCCGCATTATTCCAATTACTACTCCTAATGGTATTTCAGAATTGTACACACTTTAAAATGACGCTTTTGTGAATCTTTAAGGTTAAACCTCATACAGTTTCATTTCTGGGTCTCTTTCTCAGTTTTTTTTCTCCCAGCTTTTTTTTTATACACATTTATATTACACGTTTTTCTTTTAAATAACTGTACGAAACTTGCAAACCCTAAACTCAAAAACATTTTTTTAAAATAAAGAATGAACCGTTTTATCGTAACAAAAGATTCATCTGTTTTCGGTTTTAATCATTCCCAGACTGATCCGTATTTTGTTCCTTGCAACACCATTAAACCGCGTCTTGCGGTGCAGCGTGAATATGGACACAAAACATGCAACAAGACAGTGAATTTAGTCTAATAATGTCCATTTAAATAATCGCCACGTCTGGGCACTGACTGAGAAATGATCTTTCTTGGGTCAGAGCTAGGGCTGATCTCAGTGTCGACCCCTCCAGCCGTCCTTTGCGAAAATCAGCCCTCATAAACTTTAATCATCAGCACCTCTGTTTAAATGTAATTGTTAAAAGCCCATCTTGCCCGACGCATTTGGAAAATTGGGTTGGGGAGTAATTGAAAAATGCATGTACATACGAAGGTAACGATTTAAATTCAACAAAAGCAAATCGTCCTAAAATACAATGGAGCAATATTGCCCAGGAGTTTCATACGACGATTTTTTTTTTAATTAAAGAAATTGTAGCTATAGGACAACTAGCTTTTTCAGGTTTGTAACAATCTGCTGCATTGTTCGCTCGCTTTCTAAACCACGCCCCTCCTTTGTATGCCGGCTCTCTGATTGGCTGGGGACGAGTACGGATGGCGTCATCGCTCGGAATGCCCATTCATCTGTGCACTTGGGCGTTGGACTCTGCATCTTATTAGCAACAAGGGAAATTTCTCCATTTTCCACCCTGTCTACAGCTACACAGCAACAAATCTGGGATTTTTTATTACTTCTCCTAACTTGGCAGGCTTTTTTTTGCCATTTACCCGTTTTGTTCGCTGCAGCCGGACTTGGGTTACTTCTAGAGTAAACTTTTTTCAGGGAAGGGGGTCTTTGAACAGATCTTGCAACAGAGGAGAGACGCTTGTGGTCTTTTGTTCGTTTTTTTGGATCGGCTGAGTTTCTTTGTTGGACCGAAGGCATGGGAGCGCAATTCTCCAAAACCGCTGCAAAAGGCGAAACTGCCGCTGAAAAACCGGGAGAAGCCGCCGCTTCACCCTCTAAGGCGAATGGACAGGTAAAAAAAAATCATTTTTAAAGAACCTTATTATGGGGGCTTGTTCATTGTTTCAGATAAAACGTTGGCGCAATGGTGCGGTTTAGACTGGGACTTCCCAACACATGCCGGCGTGTTACAGCGCGAACCGAGCCCGAATACTACGGAGTGCTTAAATCTACAATTTAAGGAAACGAGTTGTATCTTTACACGCCTTTGTCTTTATTTGAGATTAATTTGGAGGAGAAAGCTGTGATTTTTACACGGCGTTTTCCTGATTGGAAATTGACCAGGATGAAACGCGGTCTTGAGCATTCCGTGTGGGACTTATTTTCTTCGTTAACTTCAGAAACGGAGCGTTTTTGCACGGTTTATCTCGTGTTCCTGCATCAGCAGCCGCGCCGTGTGGCTCCTGTCTGGACGCCTCGCCAAGCGGTGCTTTGTTTGAGGAGCAGGATGGTGCCACAGATGAAGCGTGCGGCTCTGGACTCGTGTGATTTACTCGCAGAAATATTTTCTACTTGTAGTTTGATTGAAATGGATAATTGCGTAGTGCATAGTTCGTTACTCGTTTTTTTTTTTGTCGGTGTCGACGTTGTAATTAACCAAACTTGCGATGTTTCCTCGATCTGCGTCGCACTTGGGTTTATTTTGCGAAAGTCCCAATTTGCAATAGCAGGAATAAAACGGGTGAAAGGGAGCCATTCTTCCGGGGGTATCCGAGAAGTGGCTAATGAACTGGGCAGTATCTGAAATGGCTCTGTGCTGGGGCAACAATGGCTCGGTGCGGTCTTGCTACCACGCCTTTTGTTCGAGATGCTGTGGTGGGGATGCATGGTATCACCATAGTCGGAGACTGCTGTACGGGACTAAGCACGTCGCTTAAATACGGTATCTCTGAAACGGGTTTGGCTAATAGCCAGTGCTTCTAAATATATTCTTCAGTGCTTTTATCTTAAATCAATCATAGTAAATGCAATAGCTGGGGTCTTGGACGAAACGGCGCTCTGCGTGATCTGCTGCTCTAATGAGCATCTGCTGTGATTTGGCGCTGCACAGTTTGCGAGCGCCTGTCGCGGCGGCAGAGCGCCCCCCGGTGGAGATACGGGGTCTTACAGCCCACGGGTTTTCATCTGCCCCCGAGGGGATCATTTTTAGACACCTCCGGGAAGAACCCTCGAGGTTTGGGGCGTCTCGAAATGTGACTTCTTCGTTCAAGGCATCGTTTTCTTAAGCCTCGGTAGGGGGTGGGTGGCCAGGAAGAGGTGTGGATGAAATCCTGCTTCACGGTGTTATTATTTGCGCGGATGCAAAAGAGCCTTCGAAAGGATGCGAATCTGAAACGATTTGCGGGTTTTTTTTGTATTTTCAAATGCGGTCACATGCTGCCCCTTGTGTTAGGCGGCGGTACTGAGGCGCGTAGCGGGCAATTTTCATTTGCTCTTCCGTTGTTTTTTTTTCCCAAACCATTTTTCTACCGTTGTTTGTTTTTTTTTTTTAGGAAAACGGCCACGTGAAGGTGAACGGCGACGCCTCGCCCGCGGACGCAGAGGCCGCCGGGAAGGAAGAGGTTCAGGCCAACGGAAGCGCCCCCGCCGAGGAGAGCCCAAAGGAGGAGGCGGAGAAGGCAGAGGCGGCCTCCGCGGAGAAGGAGAGCGCGGAGGGAGACAAGGAGAACGCCGAGGCAGCTGCGCCCGCCGAGGGCGAGGGCTCCGCCAAGGCCGAGGAGGGGGCCACGCCCTCCACCAGCAGCGAGACCCCCAAAAAGAAGAAGAAGCGCTTCTCCTTCAAGAAGTCCTTCAAGCTGAGCGGCTTCTCCTTCAAGAAGACCAAGAAGGAGACGGGGGAGGGCGCGGAGAACGATGGGGCCGCGTCGACGGACGAGGGCAAGGACGAGGCCGCCGCCACGCCGGGGGCCGCTGACGCCGCAGAGGAGGGCAAGCCGGCCCAGGAGGAGGCCAAGGACGAGGCCGCCGCCGCCGTAGAGGAGGCGAAGGAGGAGGCGAGCCCCTCGCAGGAGGCCAAGTCGGAGGAGGCCGCGCCGGAGCAGGCCGCGGCCGAGGAGCCCAAGGCGGCCCCCGCGGCCGAGGAGCCCAAGGCCAAAGAGGAGAGCGTGGCCGAGGAGAAGCCGGCTGAGCCGGCGGCCGCCGAGACCAAGGCCGCCCCCGCCGCCGAGCAGGAGGCGCCAAAAGCGGAGGAGCCCGCGTCGGCGACACAGGAGCCGGCCCCCGCCTCCAGTCCGGAGGCCCCGGCGGCGGAGGCGGCCCCGTCCGCGGAGTAAGGCCAGGCACCCCCCCGGAGCGACGCACGAGATGAGAATAAGAAAAAAAAAGATAATCAAAGACCTTTTCCCTGTTTTTGTTGGAAGTGGTGCCAGGTACTGGTTTTGGAGAACTTGTGTACAACCAGGGATATTTTCAAGCTTTTTTTTTTTGTTTAGTCCCCCAAATCCCCCCCCCCCCTTCCACAGAGCCCATCTCAGTTCGTTGTTACTACTATTCCAGCTGGCAGTGAGGTCTGTGGCCTAGAAGACGAGATTTTTAAGAGCACCAACTCCAGCCACGCTCTGCCTTGTACTTTTTTGCATCAGTATTAAATGTTTTTTGCCTATTTTGCTTTTTTTTTTATATATATACGAAACGTATGGACGTGTGCCCACGGGTGTGAAGGAGACAGGCGGGTGGCCTGAGGGTGTCGATTGAAGTGATGGGGGAGAAACGGCGGGCGGTGGCAGAGCTGTGCCCAGTAACGTGCCACAGCATATGACGGAAAGGGTAGTCTTAAAAAAAAAAACAAACAAGCAAATTTGAAGATTACAATGTCTGTGTGAAGAGTGTACCATAAGGTTTACAACACTAAGTCATTTTTTGCTACAAGAAGGACAAAAAAAAATCCCAGATGAAATAGGTTTAGGACGTCATTTTAAATCATAGGAGCTTTTCACTTATCTCATTAGCTGTACCAGTCGGTGATTAAGTAGAACTACAAGTTGTATAGGCTTTATTGTTTATTGCTGGTTTTATGACCTTAAGAAAGTGTAATTATGTATTACCAGCAGGGTGTTTTTAACTGTGATTATTGTATAAATGAAATCTTGATATCAAGAAGCACATGAAGTTTGCAGCTCTTTTTCCACCCTGCTCATTTTTGTAAAATAATAAAAAATCAAGTCATCCTGGAAGACCTTTTAAGCAATTTTAAACTCAACAAAGCTGTGATAAGTGGAATGGTTACTGTTTATATACTGTGGTATGTTTTGATTACAGCAGACAATGCTTTTTTCAGTGGTCTTTGACAATTAAGGAATCTCTCAGATGCAATGTTTGTGTAGCATCTTGTCTTTTTTTTTTCTTTTGTAAATACTGGAGAAGCTTTGACCAATTTGACTTAGAGATGGAATGTAACTTTGCTTACAAAATTGCTATTAAACTCCTCTGCTTAAGGTGTTCTAATTTTCTGTGAGCACACTAAAAGCAAAAATAAATGTGAATAAAATTTGACTACAGTGTTTGTCTTTTGTTCATTTCCTTTCTTCCTTAGCTTTGACTTTGCAGTAGGGAGCGCAACAGTTTGCAAGTATATGGTAGGGAGTCGCTAAACAAACCCGTCAACCATGGAAGAGATGGTCTGATATGTCATGATCAAGGTAAGACGTAACAAAATGGGTTGAATAAAGCATCTAACCACTAGAAGTTTCAGTTCCTCGGATCTACATAAAATAAAAGTAGAACTAAACTAGTCCCAACTTATGATACTTATAATGCTGATGGAGGAGTTGAACAATAAAACAAGTTAAAACGGCTGTGTGGAACTGCCTGCCTTATGTTTTGTGTAATTTGCTTTTGTGAAATCTTAAGCTTCTACACCACAAAATGGCGGCTTCAGGGAATTCTGCCTTTCACTTAGTGTAGCTGTAGTGTAGTCTCCCATTACTAAAGACTGGCGTTCAAGACCCAAGGTGTTGACAGTTGTCTGTAGTACTAGTGATGTCATTGTTCTTGCGGAACTATAAAATCTCTTAATCCAAAGACTGCATGAATCAATTATAGACACTTTTGTAAATTAACATTAGGATGATGGGGCGTGCTTTAAAGTAGACTGTACTTTGGCAATGTTTGTAGATGCAAATAGTAAACTTCACAAACTCTCCTATGCACTCTATGGTTGTTTTTACATTTTGAAGATTAGTTTTATAAGAACATGCCATGGTATAGTGACTGAACTGTGTTTTGAGTGTCTTCTGAAGATCAAAAGCATGCATATTTTCTTCCTATTCTTGTGAAAATGGTCTTTGTTTATACTTTTGGTAATTAAATGTTTGTGGTGCAATGATATTTCTGCTGTACAGATTTGTTTTTAGTTGATTACTAATTGGAACAATCGCTGGGTTTATGATAAGCGATAGCCCCATAGAGCTCCCACTTTAGTGTCACATGGCAGCAGGGAAAGCAATGTAACAAAGAACAGTATCCAGCAAATAATTCCTTACACTTACATAGTGCTTTTCTGCACACTCCACTCAAAGCTCTTTACAGGTCATGGGGACTCCCCTCCACCACCACCAGTGTGGAGCCCCACCTACAGTAGATGATGTGACGGCAGCCACAGTGCACCAGAACACTCACCACACACCAGCTCTCAGTAGGGAGCAGAGTGATGAAGGCCATTCAGAGATGGGGAGGCCATGATTGGTAAAGATCAGAGGAAAATGTGGCCAGGACACCGGGGTAACACCCCTACTTCGTTTGAAAAACACCCTGGGGTTTTTAATGACCACAGAGAGTCAGCATTTCAGTTTAACATCTCATCTGAAGGACGGCGCCTTTTTACCACATAGTGTCTCTGTCCCTATACTGAGGCATTAGGACCCACACAGCCTGCAGGGTGAGCACCCACCTACTGGCCCCACTAACTCCTCTTCCAGCAACAGCCTTAGCTTTCCCAGGAGGTCTCCCATCCAGGTACTGACCAGGCTTACATCTGCAGAGATTCAGTGGGCTGCTAGCTGAGTTGCAGGGTGATGTAGCTGCTGACAAAGCAACCACTTACAGTTTATTAGTTTAATGAGGAGAGAGAGTGCCACTGATACTTGATTGATTATTTTTTGCAACAGTTTTAAAATATTTACATTAACAGTAATTATTAGTTTCTGGTCTTTTGCTGGGTAACATGCTATTCAAGATGAAGGTGGGTACCTGAAGAAGGCTCCACGGCCGAAACGTTGTGTTCTCTTTCTTCTTTTTTTCAGCATGGAATAAACCTATTACTTGCTCCTATTCAAGATGAATGTAACTAGTAGTAAACTGATGGCCACAATAGAATCTTGAGTTGTATGGCTGTATTTTTCCCAATTTACAGCAGCTGGTCGCTGGTCTCTGTTTCCTCCTGTCCTGATGCAAGTTCACTAGAGGCATACAGAGGTTGCCCTGGGTGTTGTCGTAGTGCTGCCTGCCAATTCCCTTACCTGGCAAAGAGGATCTTGCATGTGCCAAAGGGGAAATACTGGCGAAGCAACCTGATAACAACACCCAGGCAGCAGGCACCCAGTCAGGGACCCTAGTTGTTACTGTCAAACGAATAATATCCCTGTCGCTCTGATTCTATGCCAATTCAGCCTCGATCAACACTTCAACACTGGGATGTTCTCTCCTACGTTTGTGAGCTGCACAGTGTGCAGAACCAACTCTGCAGGCTCATGATAATGTTTACGATGCATTTTTTCAGCATTCACTGATTTTTGGATCCTTCTCAACTGACAATACAAAGAGCTGAGAAATCAGGCCAAACTGGCTTTTCTGGATTGCAAAACTCTTGTCTATAACATGTTGTTCGCTATTTCTTTACTGCCTGTATACGTTAAATACAGCTTGAATGGATTTCTAAGTAATGCAATTCAGCTGTACTCAAATTTCTGATTCATTTTCTGATGTGCTTTGGAAAGTGTTGCAAAATGAAAGCAATAGGAATCAACGTTTTTCATAGGCGATGTATTTTCTAAAGACGGAGTATCAGAGTTATGTTATGAGTACTGTTATTCATATATGGCACTATATTGTACAAATTCTGTAAAATATACGGAAAGAAATTCTCGTTCGATTTTGTTTATGGTGCCCACCTAGTTGTTACAATGGTGAAAGTGACCTGATTTCTCAATATTGAGAAATTTCATGTCAGAAGAGGAGTGTGCCTGAGAAAATGGTCTATCTGTATTTTCTACAATAGTCATCAAAGTAGATTAGATTCAGTTAAATCCAAAATACCCCCAGGGAGCAATTTAAGATTGCTACTTATTGGTTACGTTTATGCAGAGCATGAAAGCTCACCATAATGAGTAAGCCAGCCATGGTGACATCTCTCCCCTGGATTTTCAGAAGTGTTTAAACCCCCCCGTTAAAGGGCTAAACCTCTCAGATAGTGGGACACACACACACACACACACACACACACACACACACACACACACACACACACACACACACACACACCAGGGCCAATGTTGCCAGCATGTCTTTGGACTGTGGGAGGAAACCAACACCAATATGCAGAGAACATGCAGACTCCACACAGACAGCAGCTCAGGAATCAAACCCAGAACCCCAAGCTCTGCAAGGCAACAACCCTAACCACAGTGCCACCAGGCCACCCTCTCATCAATCACACAGAATCGAGTTATTGTCAGAATGGCAACGTGAAGGTGGTCATTCCAAGAATTCGAATTTGTTTTTTAATCTGTGAGTTTGCATACAGATCAGCCATGTCTCATCCCTTGGCTCAGTTCCACACGATAGGATGTGCAGTATGGAGGTAATTCAACTGCCATAAATGCAGAAGTGATAGAAGCTGGACAGCCTGGTGGCAGGGTGGTTAACTCTGCTGCTTCTCCATTCTTGGGTCCCGTGATCAGTTTTGTGTTGAAAAACTCCAGCTTGTAGAAGGCTTAAGAGACTGTGACAGAACTCACATAAGGACACGGGATCTGCAAGGTGATGTGGTCTCTTTAGCCCATCCCACATTCAGGAGAAGGGGCAAAGCTGGAAGGTTAGGTGGCTGGGTCGCTTTGGACTATATGGCATAGGGTCTCACTATCACATCAGCTTCAGGACACTTCCCTGTTGACAATGATAACAGTCCTTTTCAAGGACCAACGCATGTGAAGACCACCCACTGTTTCTCCAGTTGTCTCCTGGTTTTTGTCCGAAGACAAGCTGACTAGGTTACTTGCAGTCCCTTAATTTGTCCCTGTTTGCTTCTGTGTGTGTCTTGCAATGGACATGCTTCCTGCCTTGTGTCTTGGGCTTCTGGGATAGACGCCTTACGGGGAACAAGTTACTTTCTGATCAAGGATTGATGGGCTTTAATTATTAAAACAATTTCCATCGATTCAGTTCAGCAAGTACACTGAACAAAATTCTATAGAATTTGTCTTTCATCTTGATTCTGTTGATAGGCTGTACAGACTACAATCTGAGTTATTTCACAATTCACTTTCACAAGCACATAAGAACACTGAAAATTACTAGACTAGAGCCATAAAAATGTGACAAATATATAACAAACTAGGCTTGTAGCTCCATTATGAATGATCCTGTTAAACAGGTGCAAAAATAAAAAAAGCAAAGGAACAGATAACGGGGAATCTAATGTGCATTTTACCTACTGTAGCAATGAATACGCAATGGATCATTAGGAAATTCTAATTGCAGAATACTGCTTTTTTATGATTTCTTTTTCTTACATACATGCATGATACCAGTAATATCTGAGCTTCTTTAGCGTATTACAAGTCACGTGAAAAGCTTACCATTTTTAAAATTGTCAGTTGAAGGAAGCCTCTTCATTTATATCAGCAATAGCAACTATTTTTATTCTGCTTTCATTTATGTTTATAGAAGTATCAGCACAATCTATTTTTTGAAGCAGTGTGTTTATGTAATATTATGTCATCATTATGATGATACTGTATGCACTGCAATAATTGATTAAATAATTGGTTTAAAATATGAATTATAAGAAAACACTTTGGAAAATCAAGGGTTGTTTACTGAACGTTTGACTTTATATTACAGCTTACTTTCAGATAGGGATCTTTAAAGATAGGGATCTTTAATTTGATACACACTTTCAAGGGAGATCTACAGTCTAAGTATAAAAAGAATTGGCATGTGAGGTGATGGACATAAGACAACAAAGAAAAAATCGAATTGTCTGTAAACATCGATGCTACTAAATACATTTTCTTCTATGCTCTTACAACAGCTTGTTTGAAGGCAGGGTAACCACATGAGTGTGAAATGAAATATGTATCAGCTTGGACAGAAGAGAGGAGTTCGCTCCAAACCTTAAAGATGAAAGCAAAACAAGACATGAAGGGATACGAACAACGGGTTTCACCTGATGGCGGTTCGGCCCGGAAGAAGAGAATTGTTTACAACTAGAAAAACAAAACCCTGGAAAGGGAAGATTTACAGCAAGTTGCAAGCGTATGTGCTTAGGACCCTGTCTATACACCTTCTCTAATGGCAGGAACAGGTCAGCTGGTCTGCTGACTGGTCTTTTGTGTAAAGGATGCAAACACAGCCAGGTAAATTCCTAGATTTTAGCAAAATGATAACAGCTGCTATAAGGAAGAAAACAAATTGATGCTTTTGAAATGGACCAGTTGTTTGTAAAACACTGTAATTGTTCTTATTCTCTTGCATTCACATTGTGTCACATAACAAAAGTTAACTTTAGCTGAAGAAAACTAAATTTTTCTCCTTTCAACTAATTCAACAGTAAGTAATGCATACTAGAAGGAACAGGTGAAGGTTCATACCGTGCTGAAAGGTAAAGAAAATAACATTTCTGCTGTGAAGTCTTCATCATCTGTGACACAAGAAGAAGGCTTCACAGCCAAAACATTGTTTTTCCTTTAACTTTCAGCACGGAATGAACCTTTAACTATTCCTTTGCAGCCTCCACATACAGACACAACTATATACTCTGTGCTCCAATATTCTCTTCGAGGTAAGTGCAGGTTTCATTTGTTCCTATCAAAGAGCGCCACCTTGTGGGTATTTCAAATATGACAATGTATACCACCCATCCATTGTCTAACTCAAGGGTCTCCAACCTACGGATATGTTTATCCGGACTACAGCGCCACCACTTAACGCTTACGCACAGGTGTTAAAGAAGTCAAATAACCTTTACGTTTAGGTTCACTTGTTTGGTGTTCTTGTGTTTTCTTGCATTGTTTGTTTATTATTTTACGTCGAAATGTCAGGAGCTTGGAGAAGAAAAGTTGACGAAGAGTGCTGTGTTTTTAACGAGAAGCGGCCTGGAAACCATTTCGTGACTTGAAAGCAATAACAAAGCGTTGTGCTTAATAATATGCAAAGAAACCGTCGCTCTTCTCAAGGAGTATAATATCCGAAGGCATTACGACACGAAGCACAGAAGTGCTCAGACTTGACTGGTAAAATGCGTTCAGATAAAGTAGAAAACACTGAAGAAAAAATTTATCAGCGTGAAATATTCACAAAGCGATCACAACAATCAGAATCGATTGTAAGGGCGAGTTTCAACATAGCCAATGTCATAACTAAGGCAGGGAAACCATTTACTGATGGACAGTATATAAAAAAAACGTGTATTATGAAATCTGCTGAAGACCTGTCCAGGAAAAGTTGCTTTGTTCAAGGAAACAAGTCTGTCAGCTAATGTAATTGTCGCACAGAAGACCTGGAAAATAACATTTCTCTGCAGTTGAAGAAAATATGGATATACTGTAGCTGTGAAGACAGTGAATTTTATCTGATCGTCCTCCCTTAATCATAGTGTTTAAAAACTTCCTATCTGAAATTGAGAGTGAATATCCGGGCGTTCCGTACCACTGTGAGGTTCGCTGGATCAGCCAAGCTGAAGTACTAAGATTTTTTGAATTACGCACAGAAATCGATATTTTCATGACCTATTAACGCCCTCTCTGACAGTGTTTGATTATGGAAGCTCGCCTTTCTTGACTGCACATGTAAGTGAACTGAACGTGAAACTTCAGGGCGAAAATCCTGTCATTTCAGATTTGTTTTCACATGTAAAATCCTTCAAACAAAATTCTTTTTGAAAAACAGGCGGCAGCTCACAATTTTATTTTGCAGCTTGTGAAAAGTACAGGAATGATTTCTGTTCGCTTTAAACGCGATTTTTACACTGGAAGCAGCAATTTCAGGACAGTTTTCAAGATTTTAAAAGTATCTCGTAGAACACGAGACTGTTCCAGATCCCTTTTGCAAGTAAAGGTGAAGATCTTCAGCCCGAGCTGCAGCTCATAGTTGACCTTGCTAAGGATGACTTGTATAGGGATCTGTTTAAGGAAAAGGTTATTTTAAACTTCTGTAAATCACTGCCTGAAGACAGTTTTAAGAACATTAGAAAATTTGCTTGTGGAATGTTTTCTGTCTTTGCCTCCACATATTTGTGTGAACAAACATTTGCAAAGATGAAATGTGTAAAATCTAAATATTGAACATCACTCTGATGAACACCTCAAGCCGATTTTGATTCTGGGGGCAACAAAGTTTGAACCAGAATTGGGGGACATTGTCACAGAAGCAATTCCAAATGTCGCATTAAATTTGTACCCATGTATGTGATTATTTAAGTTCCATTTGAATATTACAATATATTACATTTATATGGGTTTTCATCATATAATTGTAAATTGTGTTGTTTATTGCGTATTCCTCCATCATAAAATCTCCCTGTCTACCTACCCTCTGACTGTCTGGCCCTCCGGCCTTTCTTCCAAAGCAAATGTGGCCCTCAAGGAAAAAAGGCTGGAGCGCCCTGGTCTAACCACTTCATCCAATTCAGGGCTGTAGGGGAGCCAGAGCCTAACCCACCAAGCAAGGGGGGGGTAAGGCAGGGTACATGTTGGATGGGACGCCAGTCCCCTGCAGGGCAGACCTACAGTCACACATACCCACGCCCGGTCATTTTTTCCAGAAGTCTATAAACCGGTCGGCGTGTGTTCGACTATGGGAGGTTAGAGCAGCAAGAGGAAACCACACAAGCACCGGTAGGACTTACAAACTCCACGTCCGTAAGACCCCCGGTCCAGAACTGACCCCAGCCCTGTGAGGCAGCAGTGCTCAACTCATAGAAAGCAGGGGTTCTCATCTCAGGTCCTAGGGCTCTGGAATCCCTTAAGTCCCCTAGGTCTTCTTGATATAAACAGCCCCTCCCGTGGAAAAACACTTAAAACTGTTTGAACTGCAGTTCAGGCAGACCAATTTATCCCTTCTTCCTAACTTCAAACTGATAAGAATTTTAGGGAAACGTTAAACTTGCCAGATGCGGCTCAGGGTTAATGAACTCCTGGCATAAAGATTCTGAAGTGTGCCGTGAACGTTGCTCAACTCCTCCAGGAGTATCTGTTGATTGGGAATTCATGTATAGTCTGGAAAAAAGAATCTAGGAGCTAATCAGGTAAAAAACAAACAAACATTAATCTCCAATTCAGTACAATAAACGCACAACACATTTATAAAAAAGCTTTTATTACAGAAATGAAAAGTGTGAAACTAAAACAAAAATGATGCCTTTGCAGGTTTTCATCTTTTAAAAACCACACCTACATTAACATCATCAAACATCATCTCTAAAACATTTTAATTAAAAATGGTTATAAAATGTAAAAAAATGTCCCTTTGCAATAAAAATGCTTTCGTTTAAGGGTATTAAAAGAAAATACATCATCTTAATCCTATACCATGATACCAATACAAAACAGTGCCATTATAAGATTTTTTTTTTTTTGTGATAAACTCACGACACACATCTCACATCTATAACACAGATCAAAATAAATAGGGTGTTAAGGTTTTGAATCCAAAGCGAAGTCCAGCAAATCGATTGCCAGTTTAATGGTTCCAGATCTTTTTGCCTTTACGGTTTGTTCAAGCACTACTAGGCTGCTCGGCCTTGACGCTGTAATGGACAAAAGAGACAGAAAAACAGTAAGAAGTACTTGACTAGTATTGACAAAAGCAGAAACGGTATCGCCTCTGTTCAGCATTTGCCTACTAATTATCCCTCATTAAGCAAAGAAAATTAATTTATTTTTAAATGCCTTTTTAAACAAAAGATAAAAATACAGAAGGAACAAAGTTCTTAAACAAATGCAATCCGATCATTCTGTAAATTTCGGCTCCAGCAAAAACGCGCCCGCAGTCTAACTGTTAAGCAAATGCTACTTTCAATTTAAAACGATAACAAGCAGAACCGAGCTGCAAATCGTGGGTCTTTTTGTGAAACATTTTTGAAAACAGGATCTCTGTCCAGAAGGATAGAGATCTGGATGCTACTTCATTAGGACGAGTATAAATTCTAACAGAAACCGCTATAGTCAGGCCTGTTCATTTTTCCTAAGAACGACCGGTTTTATATAGCACCTTTCTGCTTTATAAAGGATTTCAAACTGCTTGTGCTCGTGAGGGTTGAAGGACCACATTCAACAGGGAGGACCAATTAACTTTCCCTTCTCAACAGCTTCCATGTCCCCTTGCGGGATTATAAAGCCCTTCCAGGGCACAGATGCCGTCCTTCTTGTATCGGGAGTCAGTTCAGACTCCCGTGTTGTGTAGTGTGCATTTAGGACCCTATACAGGCGTTGAAATCCGGAGGAGACTGGAGAAGGACAGCAGGGAAACACGACAGGATCAGGACGGGAGGACTGACAGGGGGGCGCAACGTCAGTGTTCCGGTGCTCTGGGGGCGTGGCGCAGGGGAACACGTCCAAAACAATCCGGAAGGGAAAACCAAGAAGCAGTCCAAAAGTCCATAGCCGGGAGATCCATCCGAAGAGAGACGGGAACGGGGACGAGGAATCAGGAACAAGGAAGTTAAAATCATAACGGATCTAGGCGCTCCAAGCCCCGAACTCGGATGGTCAGGACGCTGGGGTGAAGCCTATGCCGTCGGGTCTCTCCTGGACCCGCTGGTAGGTGGACTTCTGGGCGTCCATCTTCCGATGCTGAGTGCAGAGCTTCGGAGGTACTGGGTTTAAATAATACACACGGACCAAGGGGCAGGTGAACGTAATAATGAAACTAAAACACAAAAAAGGGTCAGAGTGCCCTCAAGAGGAGGGATGACGATCGTGACGCTTCAAGCATGTTCTGGGTCGTCATCAAGGCCTGCTCCCAGGGGATGTGCCCAGCAGAGCTCATCAGGCTTCTCCAGTACAGGTAGAGAAGTAGCAAGTCTACTCATGAGTTCTGTCGAGACAGACAGCTCTGCTGGTCCCTGTCCACAAAAAAGTAAGTCCGAGAGCCCCACAACAAACTTAATTTTCACTTCTGATATCCATGGTTTTATCCTTTGGGTCATTACCCAGAGTTTTGGACCACACCTGAGGATCGAGACGTGCAGCTGATTGATCTGTACACCACACAATCCGCCACAGGGCCCGCGGCGCTGCTGGTGCTGGACCAGTCCAGCTGCCAAATTTACACTCCAACTTGCCATTGTTCTCAAATTAAGAGTTAAGCTACTTGGGCACCTCCGCTAAGGGCAGGGTGCTCCCCCTTCACCAGGGGTAAGCCACAGTTTTTTTTTCTGGAAGAGAATCGTGATTTCAGATATGGACGTTTTATTACAATCCAAGCAACAGAGTCTTAAGTGCCCACTGGAAATCACAATCAGACGAGGCAAGAAGTACAAAATCTTCAAGGTGAAAGGATACCACCTTTTATCCTCAAACAAGATATTCTCCGTACCTCAGCTGTACCTTGGCATCCTGTCTATGAAAGTCACGAAAGTCTTCTTAAGGGGAACTGCAGTCCCAATTTTTCAGAATGGTTATTACATCTCGGTAACTAAAAAAATTAATTGACGGTACCAAATATTTTACACATTTCAAACTAAGCACGGAATCATGGACTTGGTGAAAGTACTGTATAGTTGCCACGGTTGAGAATTCGTGAGAACTGCAGTGTGAAGTGGCACTTCCTGCTCACTGGTCACTGTAATGACTCATGCAAAGTGAGTGTATAAGTACAGGTCGTGCCTCAGACATTTAAAACGTGATCTGCATACAGAGTTAACAAATAAGAAATATTTGCAGCGCAGTGTTTGCCAGGGGGACTGTACCCGTCTTCCATGCAAATTGGAACGATGACATCTGAACATATTCCAGCACTTTCAACATCTCCAGACAAACCTCATTAGCTTGGCTCATTTTTTTTACGACAGCAGCCACTTCAGCATTAGTGACAATCTATTCGGATGAGGGGGTGTTGCTTTGTGTACAGAGGCTGTGTCCACCAGACTGAAGAGTTCTTCAAGGTGCTCCTTTTCACCTCTCAACAATATTCTTGATTCAGGTCAGCATGTTGGCATCTTTGAAAGAACAGCCTGGGTAATCTGCCAACAACCCTACCTAAGACATCAAATGGTTTACCAGAACACCTTTGTGGTGTTACACCAGCGATTCTCCTTCTAAGAACTCCTTTCAGGCCCAGTCTTTCACTTCAGTGACCATCAGAGCCTCAAACGTCTTGACCTTCTCAGCCTTTTTGGGAGATCAAGGGACCAGTTCTGGCCCTGCTCTGAATGTCTTGTTCTTCACCTTGAGAGTTTTATTTGCCACTGGTGTTCACCAATAGGACGTAACGTTGTCACCCTGACTGGCACCACCTGGCTTCTCGAGGCCCTGAACACAGCTCACTCAAAAGTCCATATTCACCTAGAATATGAGAGAGGTTCTTCCAGAGGTGAGAGCTGAAATCTTTCTGCATACGGTCATTCACAAGATGTTGCATTCAGTGCACGGGGCTACAACTGATCACCAAGTGGTGCTACCGTAACAGCTTTGCACATCTCTGGATAGTTGGACTCTTCCAAGCCATCACCCTCCATTTATCTCCAATATCCATCATGTGAGCATTGAAGCTCTCAGGAGAACCAGAGTAGATAGTGGGCTCGGTGCTCAATAGGGTACCATCTATCTATAAGAAGACTACATCTCTGCACTGCTGTTTTCATGACTCATGTAAATGAAAACAGTCAGGAGCTTCCTCCAAAACCTCAAAATAATAATCTCTGAAAGGAGCAAGCTTAATTGTAGTTTTAATCAACATTATATACTGTTCTGAAAAACTAACATTTCAACTAAAAACATTTCATTTAAAAATCAAAATTTGAAAACTGATCTTAAAGTTTATACCATAACTGTTACATTTAGTCTGAAAGATCCATAAAAATCTTAGATCTAATCTAATCTTAGACTATTCAGACAAGGACAAAAGTCCCAAACTAACAAAAGTTTTCATTTAATAAGTCAAAACATTTATAAGTAACTAGTCATCTACCTCTAATACACATGCATCATACTCCAAGACTTACGTTTTGGCATCTGTCTTTTCTGAGCTGTTTTCCTTAGATTTCTCTTCTTCTTTTACTTCTGTAATAGTAAACAAAAACTGTTGTAGCCAAAACGTAGGAGGGACAAAAGTACATTACTCCATGTCCTGCACTTTACCACTTTTTAACTAGCTGATTAGGTTCTTCAACAGCTAATTGATCCAAGGATCTCATTCTTGAAAGAAGCCAGGGTATCACCTCCAACACCTGGTCCAGAGTGTTTGTCTTCCCTGCAATTGTGTATCAAATAATTCAAACCTGTTTTCCAGCGGCAGAAAATGTCCTATAGTAATTCTTGAATAATCCATTCTGTTGTAACTGCAAGGATAACACTGATAAGAAAAAACCCTCATGTCTCAAAAAAGTACAGGATGCATTATTGTTTTAAAAAACTGAATTTAAAAATAGTGCAAAAAGCTCTATCTAAAAGATTAGACTAATGAAGATATCAGGGTTTTTTTTTACATTGGGCTAAACAAAATAAAACAAGCTTTATACATAGCTTACATAAATATGATGTATTACTTGTACTGCGCCATAGTAGTATATAATAGTAATTTTAGACTTGTTTTTTTTTTTTTTAACTCTCTGGTTAAATGTTAATACAACGAGCACTGAAAAATTATAAAGGCAACAAATTCAGAAGGTTAACATGAGAATGACACTTTTTTTGGAGTAGGCGCACAGACATTAAACTGCCATCACACAGGTAAATGTACTATGCTGGCTGATACTTGTCCTATTCCTCCTTGTAGTCCAGTGGAGCATGTGACTCTTCACTGGTCTCCGAGACCTAAACATTACATGTTGCCCCAGCTCATTCCCCAAATGGGGCTCAACTGTGGTGGGTACGGCATCCAAGGCACGACGATAACCTTCTCATCTTTCACAAGCAGGGAGTGTGTTGATCTGTGGAAATTGTGTCGCATTCGGACAGGCCAGCAGGAAGACCAGCAACTCCTGGATCAGGTTCCAGGAACGTGAGCCCGGAGCACCATGCACTTACGCTGCCACCAGACATGACAGGTGGGAGTTCTACACTGACTAGACACTCCTGCCCAGTCGTTCATGTTCTGTACCCAGCACGATCTGCCAGGCATGTAACCAGAGCACAGATGGTGGTGTGCTAGTCAGACGGACTGCCTCACAGCTGCAGAAGCCTGGCTTCAGTTCCAGCTTGGAGCTGCTCACTGTGTGGACTTCGTATGTTCTACCCATGTTTATAATCCGTTTTACCCCCCACCTCCAAGAGACACGAGGTTAGGTCTGGTTTGGTTTTCTAAATTGGCCCCTTGCAGTGGGAGTCTTTTAAGTGGAATTCACTGATGGAGGGATCATTCTCCGCTCCCAGTATGTCCAGCAACAACTATGAAACATATGGAAATAAATAAAAAAATCATTGTGCTTGATGGGCTGATTGGCCTCTTCTAAACTGTGGCCTGATTGTCTGACAAACCCTCTTAGAAAGTCTTCTCGTGCCCATAATCACTTTACTGACAAATTGCGGTCCCCTGTTGAACACCATATTAAGCCACTTTCAATACTTTTGAGTGCACTTATGCAGTTTGTTGTCAAACTTCTACATAATTTCAGCTTGAGCTACTGTGATCCCTTATGGATTCTGTGAATTCCTTCTCAGCTTTTCGCCCGCTGATTTCTGTTCCCAAGTAAAAGTTAGAAAGTGCTGCACTGTGTGGAGGCTTCATGTTGGGACATTTCCAAACCAAGCTTGAGGCTCCAACCCAACCCTTTATGTGTAACAGCCCAACACAACCTGCCTCCCTGCCCTGCCCTTGTCATCAACTTTATTTTATGATCCCCAGAAGAAGATTAAGAGATTAAGCTTTTATGACATTTGTGATATAAGCCATTAAAAAAAAATGCAGCACTTATGTTGGAAGAAATTGATATACATATCGTCACCCATCTCTTAATCTGTATCTCTTTCAATGCTTCTTTTCTATATATTTACGTTTGTTCTCCAACATTAATGCTTTACTTTCATATACATTCAAAAACACACTTTCAATTCAGACATGGGAGCTAAGAACTATACCTAGGAGGGAACTCACTGAGCTTTATCATGCTCTCAATCCAGAACTCACTCACATTATTGGTTAAGTGTTAAACAGGAAATCCAGCACAAAACAAAATCAGATAAGGTCTCGTACTGAATTCTAGGCAAGATCAAGAAGTTACAGTAAGTCTGTATATTGTAAATGGGAAGGTCATTTATTTTACCTTTCCGGACACAGTCCTTTATGAGGCAACTAATGAATAGAGCTTTGCTTGTCCCACACAAACATCTTCAGTGTGATGTCCTTCCCACACATTCTTCTCCCCAGCGCTCCCTCTCTGCCCGCAACACACAACCAGCAAACACCTCAACACCTTTCAGGAGCTCCTCAGATTTACCGCTGTATGATCAATCTCCCTGCCTTTTACCGTACCCCATACACCACTGTGGGAGACACTTTCACACCACTCACTGTAGAACAGACCACAGGAAAGTTGAACTCTTCACAGCTGCTGAAATCTGCTACCTTACTTGCTGTGGTTTAAGATATTGTATGCTGAACTGTATTTTTGCTTCAGCGTGCAATTTACCGCCTCTGCTTAGCGTAGAAACTGTAGGATTAGGCCATTTATTAGTGTTATATTACTAAACATTATTTTACGATTAAAACCAAATTAGAATCTGTAAATCATAGGTTTGTAATTGTTGGCACAAGTGAGAGAAACAAAAGCTCTGAAACTGAAAGGTAAACAATTAAATCGTTCCCAAAATACGCATTTGCTACTTCCATCGTATTTCAGTTCTCAGAAGAGTACTTGCCCGATTTCTTCTCCTCGGCTTCTCTCGGATCCTCTTCTAGCCTGGCGCGCTTCACGTTTTTCTTGTGATTTGCAACATTTCTCCTCCCTCCCTCTCCTTCGTCTTCAGAGTCAGAAAACTCTTCATCGCAGGCTATCCTTTTGTCAGATGCCCGGACTGAGATGGACAAGAAAAAGACAGTCAGTGTTCATCACACATAAACTATATGCAAGTCGTCTCATTTCCTGCATTTGGTTTTGATTGAGAGTCCCTAATGACAATTAAAAACACAATAATTCAAGAATTATGAGACAAGGTTAGCCGGTCTTTAAAGATCATGTCTTTAATGAACTGCAGATTGTTTCTAACTTGAAAGAGAAATGATAGGTGACACAGATCACTCGTATCAGAATTCACTATTCTCATATTTCATCCTTCCAGTAACCTCATGTTTTGGCCAGTGCCTCTTGGCTCTTTTATTTCCCCAATTTGTTGCAAAAATCTGCTGACAAATATTATTTCAGTATTAAATAACCATGTACTTGCAAAGGCTCTGAAACACAAAACCGTAGCACTTTCGGTTTTAATAATTTGTCAAAACACAGGCAGTCGAGCATACTCTTCTCCTAATTAGGATACACCAAATGCTTCGAAAAGGAACCATTATCATTGACAGAGAGCAGTGTTACTTCAAAATAATCACCAAAAAGTCTGAAGCTCTAATTAAATGACCACCTAATAGTCTAAAACATTTAAAGTGCTTAACTCCCAAGTGGCTCTATCTCAAAAAGCCTTATAAGAAGATGTCGTGTATATTTTCACAATTGTTTTCAGCCACCAATATGGAACGTGTACTGAAAGCGAGACATTACTTGATAAGCGCTTGTCTGGGTTATCAGCGTCTTCGTCCCCAGTGTCTTCGGGCACAATGTCCTCGGGAATGGCCTGCATCTGTACTCCTGGGGCGTGCGGCAACATTCTCAGGTTCTCAAACAGGCGCTGTCTGCAGAGACAAGTACAGCCCCACATTGAGATCTCAACACATTCTGCACCTCTCCCACAATCCGGTTTTCGTTAAGAAGCTTTTGGACAGAAAGAGCCTCCTTACTTGATCTTGTCCAGATACTCTTGCGTGTTCTGGTTTGTCATGTTGGAGGGACTGATGTGCAACTTAAAGTCAGGTCCAAAGTATTCGAAGTAATCATTGTATGGCAATTCTAAAAATGACAAAAAACAAAAAATAATACATTTTCAAATCTAACTTGCCAACAACAACAACAACAACAACAACAACAACAACAACAACATGAACTCTTGACTAATAAGATCTCCTGTCTGGCACTCATAGGATACAAGAGGTGATGCTTCAGAGCCTCACAAATCTGTGGTTCATATCATGTTTTTATTTTTCTAATAAATCCTTCAACACTGAATCCAGAACCTTGGAGAGAAGCAAAAGGATATGAAAAACTAGGAATCCCACATGAAGGTAATGATGCTGTTTTAGATGGCCTCAAGTTCGGATGGCTTTTTTTTCCATCCAGCTAATAAATAACTTTGAACTTAAATATAGTTTAAGAAATAAAAGGTATAAAATCTCAGATTATGCGTTATGTACATACATGACAAAACAAGACTTTGTGTTTTACGCTCTCTTCTTTAGTACAGTAGCTTTCATCTCAGTGAGATTCAAGCTTATAATGTAGTCTTTACAAGACAATTTTAAACGTTTGCTGCCATAACGACGACTCCTAACAGCAAAAATATTTTGACTCACTCATCCTGCAAAGAGTAGTTAAGTAGAACTAAAGTAGTAGGATGTTAGTTAAAGAACTGTCTTAAGTCCAGAAATATACATGTCTAGCATTAACAAGTCTCACTCGGGGCCTAAGAAAGGACACAACGTTCAACTACAGTACCATCAGGAATATCTGTATCCAGTGCCACAGCAGTTTCGTATGTCCAACATCGGGAAACATTACGGATGGTGTAGCCCCCTCCCCCCAACATCAGCAAAGGTAGATTGAAAGACTTCATGTATTCCACACATTTTGCATGACCTAATGAGGGGGAAAAAAACAAAAACAAAGGTATCAAAAGATCAAAATGATGAGATCAAATAGCTCAAACAAAGCACAAGATACACACATACATCCGTGCCTGGAAGCTCAGTTCTGCACAAACGGACGGATTTCTGCAGAAGGGTCATGCACATTTTCTGAGCGTACCTCTTATTGTTAGGTTAAAGCAGCCAAGCCGATCTCCAGAGAGCGAGTCGGCCCCACACTGCAGGACAACTGCACTGGGCTGGTACATCTCCATTACCTTGGCCATTACCTGCAAAGCCGGACAGAATTCCCATTTAGAAAACATTAGAAAACTGTGTTGTATAATACAGTAGAAAGCTACATGCACAATAAAGTGTGCATGTAAAAACGCATGCTGAAATGCACAAAGATGAACACCAGTCGTATAACCTTACAAGATATAAATGAACGGCTTTGCAATTGTATCGTTTTGCACAGTGGGTGTATGCAAGTACTGTCAATGCAGTTACAAGAAATTAAGTCATTACAGCTATGCCAATACATTTAGATTACTAACATGCCATATTTTTTTCCTATATTTTACATAACATTTTTGCTACACAAAAATATAAAAAGTGTTAAGACAGCAGTAGGCATTATGCACTATGATTTTGGCTGTCAGTCTATACATTAAGGATGCACTTACTGGCTTAAATATTTGTTCATATGAGTCATCATCTATTCCATCTCTCAGTGGGAAGTTGACAGCATAGTATTTGCCTTTTCCTGCACCTATATCCTGTAAAGAAGCAGGACAATATTAATAAGATGACTATTAGGACTGCCATAGATGCTTACTAAAGTAATCTCCTTTGCAACCCAACAAAGGATTTCTGTTACAGCAGCCAAACATGTATGGTTCAGTTTCAACACAAGCAAAAAGGATAATAAAACCAAAAAAAAGTGTACTATTTAACAAAAAAAATACATAACACAACACAGACAACTGAAGAATAAAGCCCACAAGTTTAATTAAAAGCGGAAATCGCTTGGATTACATTATCACAGGTCACAAAAATACGTTTTAGCAGGCTTAAGCAAGAAAAAAAGAGGAATAAAAGTATTAAATACACACGTGCATGCATGTCCTCTACAACATAAACATTCAGAATAGTCTCATGTTTGTCAGTTTTGAGTTCTGCTGCGATCTTGGAAATAAACACCCACACATCACTTACTCGAAGGTCTCCGGTGCCTGGGAAGTACTCTCCATATTTATGAAATGAAACTGTCATGACACGGTCGGTTGTGTAGAAGGCCTCTTCCACACCATCTCCATGATGGATATCAATGTCAATGTACAGAACTCTCTGGTGGTATCTGAGAGAAATGTGAAGAAAAACTGAATTCCTTTCAAAATTGGTCACGAAGCTTACATCTTACATACAAATGAAGGAACGCAGTCTTTAAGGAAAAGCTATGTAACTAGAAAACAACCAAAACCTACAGTATCCTACTGACCAAGAAAGTATAGCAAGTACATGAATAAATGCATGGTTGCTGAAAACACATTTAGGCAGGACTATCCTTTGTTCTACTTTGTGTTTTAAGACAGAAGATTGGACCATGTCACATACAGCTCAAATCTGTGCGTTCCCTCTAAACATCTAGTACAACAGCCTAATCACATTTCCTTCTGTGTTAAGATGTCAACCAACTACACAGAAATACATTTAAAAATTAAGACTTAGGTAGGGGTCTTGATTAGCTGATAAACAGCTACACAGGAATTGACTGTAAAGGATCTACATGGTTACACATTTAGAACACAGTATTCCTGTCTGTGCGTCTCCTGGAGAGCAAGCTGGGGTATGCGGAAAGACGAATTCCTAATGCAGGAAATTGTATATGGCCAATAAAGTGATCTTATCTTGTCTTAAAATTACCACTTCCTTGTACAAGTAGGACTCCCATATAGACAAGGCAGCAGACATGCTCACTCTAAACTGCTTTTGTGTCCATTGGATATCAGTCAGCTCAAGGTACAGTCCAGGCTCACAAAGCTGCTTTTGTAAGTGTATTAAGACTCTGTTTCCCCAGTGCTATTGAAGTGATCACAGCAGTGAGCTGAGCTGTCAGCATTTCTCGATTCTCGACCAATAATATTTGGGAAACAAAAAAAAAAACACTGCTTTTTGTAGCTAACAAGCTTTGCCTTCATACGAAGGCAGTTCTAACGCCTGTCTTTAGTTGCAAGACGTGAGACTTAAGGGTGAGAAACTTACTTGAGCAGCTCAAGGATTCCTAGAACAATATCATTGACATAGCAGAACCCGGAGGCCTCGGACTTCTTGGCGTGGTGAAGCCCTCCGGCCCAGTTGATTGCAATGTCCGTCTGCTGCCTGTTCAGCTTCACTGCTCCAGCTGAAAAGGGCCAAAGAAGCTCAGTTACATTTAGATACGTAACTAGAGTGTTTTTAACTTTGTTTTACATCTGCAGTATGCCAGTATAATGTGAAGCCTGATTTAGGCGTTCACCGTTATGCAGGGCGCACGATCTACTAGCACTGACAGCTGGGCATCCCAGTCCGTCTAAAATGCCCCCGTACTTCACACGTACCTGTACGCCTTCAAGATAACGCGAGACAATTTTTAAAGGAGTGACAGATGTTCTTGTAAAACACAATGAAAACATCCTGTGCATAAATAACTCTGCTCTTTGCTTTAACTTTGATTCAAGGTGGAATGAATCTCGGCTACGATTTAAGAAACAGTCATGCCATATCAACCATGTGCTACAAGAAGTCTGGGTTTTTCCACTTACCAGCAGATCCCCCTGTTGACAGCTGGCAGAACTCGAACAACCCATCAAAGACTGGACAGTCTTCCCCAACATTGACTATAAAAGAATGCGACGCATACATTTCGGGAGGTTAATAGTTAAACAGATCATGCCTTAATAGCTCACACTGTCATCCTATAAATAGTACAGATAACTCTGAATACCCAGAATGATAAACATCTACTAACATTTCAGACGTGTTCGTCAAAGACAAATGGACGTCCACGCACATGTGGTCATATCAGTCACTCAGGTTATAATATATAAACAGTATTGCAATTAATAGTATAATAGTCCCCAATTTCCATTTTTTATTTTTACATCTTAACTACAACCAATGTACTGTACAGTACATTTTGTAAACCACTGATTATTTTTAATTCTGAGAATATTAATAGCATCTAGCAAAACAAGTCTTGCAGCCTCACCAATACTTGAAGCAGCAAGATCTTGTTTAAAAACAATTATTTGGTTAATAACTGAGCTGGATGCCTTCTTTCTTTATATTATCGTCCCTGAACATTCTCCGTTATTGGACAGCAAAACCAATTTAACAGATGAATCTACAGAAATACTATCTGCTAAATATCTATCAAAAACAATCAACCAGAGAACCAGACAGGAGAAACAGTTGTTTCAACTGTCGTTTTCTTCACGTTAATGATACCATAAACGTGATATGTCCAGGTAAAATGACAGCCAGTGATGTATTTAAAAATCTATATTCTATATGGTTTAGCTGCTTTACATAATTACTTTATAATTATAAATTAGGTATGATTTGTGATATAAAGACAAAAATGGTAAGCTAACCAAAAATAAGTAATTAACTCAGTAAGGTCTTTTTTAATTAGTATTGTATTCCTAGTCAGGCGCTAGAAAAAAACAACATCTGTAAAACAGATTTAACAGATTCTTACATAAGTTTTGCAATTAATCTACAGTGAAGTGTTTGATTAGACAAGATCTCAAACTGTCTGAAAAGTTGCAATGCTCACATCTTTGCATTTGTTTGCTGAATTCAGACATGTTTTCTGTTCTGATTGATCTGAGGAACTTGATGTAATCATCACTGTGGTACTTTGTCATTTCTTCAGCTGTGGCCTTATGAGGTCTCTGCAGACACAAAAATGAACATAATCCAATCAACAGAGTTAAACACAAGACAGAAACAAGAAATAAATATCCCAATGGCATTTTAGTATCATACATACAGGAACAATATAACTATGTATATAATAAATATATTAAAATGCCAATATTTAAATCTACATTATAATGTATTTACAACTGATCAAATAGTACTAATGCTCCCTTATTTATTTATTCTATTGCTTACTTTCATAAAGAATTTTGCTATCCTAAGAAAAAAGAGTCCAGATATATTACACTATGAACCTACACACTGAGCGGAATAAGAGCATTTTCACATACTGCTTCCGTGGCTAAAGTACATCAGTCCTCTGCTTTAGTGTCTGGATGATAACTAATCATAGAGGTATTTCTCTGTTTAGCAGGTGCCCTGTTCTAAGGTGAATTTTCATTGTAATACAAAGTTTAAATGACCTGTAAGTAGGAAGGAAACAACAGGTACAACAACATGCAAATTGAATAAAATGCACACTGTAGATAAGTGAAATGGCAATAATGCTGACTTGTGAAGCGATGCTTGGCAAACACTTAAAGACAGCAATGCAACAGACACATGTTCAGCGGAAGTGTAATCTGTCATTACACTTCAAGACTTACATAGATTTCCATTTTCCTGTAAAGCCCATAGTTTAAAAGCAAGTTGTGGGTCATGCGAATTCTGTGAGGTTTCATGGGATGCCCCTGTCCATAATAATAGTTTCCAATGTCACCTGAATAATAAAAAGTAAAGGTTAACAGACAAAACTGGGCATGACTTATTCAAATTCTTCGTATTGAAAGAAATACAAAACTCTTTTATTAATAAACCATTCAGTGCCATTTATTTCTAAGATGTTAAGGGACACCTTTTCCTGCTGTGGACTTAAGTCCACATTTACATTTTGGCAAACAAATCTTCACTTAAGAGACGCAATAATTACAAATTAAACGATGAAGATTGTTTTGTTGTTGTTGTTTTTTTGCGTCGGGCTCATTTCCATAACGCGAGGAGGCCACATGTCCTGGCGTCAACGTACTTTAGAGAAGCACAATCCGCTTGCAGTTTAATCACACGTAGGCAGGTATTAAAGAAAGCAAATATACGCGGGATAGTGTAACCGTTTTGGTGCTGGTAAGTAGCGATAGCTACATTTTCCGTGGCGTCTATAAAGAAAACGGGCGATACCTACTAAATCTGTAAAGAAAACAGCGCTAATGGCTCTGACGACGGAAGGAGACGGTTTTGTTTTGGATGAAGGCGGACATGCGCAGTGTATGGTTTTGTTTTGTTCCCGTCGCCACTAGGCCTTGGCGGCAATGAACAACTTCTGAGTATTTAATTTGATTCAGCACTGCAGTCGGGACACCTCGCTAACCTAACCCCCCCCCTCCAAAAAAACAAACAACAACTTTTAAAACAGAAATTATAAACGCACAACTGCTGCGCAGTGGCCATCGTGCGTGATGTTTCTGTGTATTATTACGGCTGAGGTACGCGAAATGTTCGCATCGACTCTCGGGGGTTCAACGTAAAATCAGTTTCGTTTGGCGCAAACGCGTTGTAACTTTCAATTATGCGGTTACAGTCGATGTAAAAAGAAATATCAGCTGCGAGACACGATTTTACATTTTGCGTTACATTTAGACACACTAAACCCGGCCACCCGTCTCTTGTCCCTCTCGTCTTCACTCGGCCCCTCTCTCATTGTGAGCGTCACCCCCGTCGTCTATTGTATAAATAATAACTGCAAAGCAGGAACAGGACTGCAGGGTCTCGTACCGTCATAATAGTAGCAGACTTTCTTCTTTAAACCGCCTTGGAGGGTATATGCCATGATTACTCTCTGATCGAAAGGTGATGTCGGGTCGACGGAAGCTGGTTATATTTTCGGCGGAGAGATAAGGAAAGACGGGGAGCGGGGCGGTACACTGACGAGAAAGAGGTGGGCCGTGTGGTGGTGGGGGTGTCTTATATCCAGCGCCGAGCATCGGACTGAATAAAGAAGACGGAAATATTCCAGCTGTCCATCAACACACTCTGTAACACCGACGGGCCTTAGTGCGTCAATCATTGAAGTAAAACAATATATTATTTATTGGTATCTCGCTGATCATTTGTAGATGGTGAAGCCACTTCTGATCCAGGGTTGTGTGAGGCTACTAACACGAACAGAAATAATTTTAGATACCAGTTATGCCGTCGTCAGCAGGACAAAGCACTATATCCAATATATGAATAAATGTGATCTATACCGGTCATGTTTTTGAAGTACTGTACTAACAGAAATAAAGTATCCGTCTGTACCAAAAAAAAAAAGTAAAATGTAAAGAGTTAGCTTCTTGAATGGCAATTTAAGTGTCTTCTATAAAAATGTTATAAAAAGTGTTTGATGATTCTAATACAACTGGGATAGCTGTTGTTAAAATTATGAGAGCAATATTCAAGGGTCAGGCCTTTGTTACTTAGCAGTGCAGTAATAAAGATGTGTGAAAGTGCAAAGCCAAGTTAACACAGCGCATCCGATCTGAATTCTGATATCTTTTTTTTTTTACTGTTCTCATTGTATTTAGTAGTGAAATCATCTGGGAATCGGAAACCAATCAGTGAGAGTGAAGCGATTTGCCTATAATCTTATGGTATTTATCTTTTGATTTATAGCTAAAATCAACACAGATGGTTTCTTCGAAAGGAATAGTAAAACGGATCAGATGACACAAGATGAAACTGTGGTGAAGTGCCTTCAAAACCTAAAACAGAAATCATTCCTTTGGAGTCTGGAACAGGCTACCAAACCATGTTGTTGAAGCTGATACTCTGGTTTCTTGCAAGAAACTTTTGGATGAGACCTCTGGAGCAATTAGTTACCAACAACCTAACAGGCTAGACGGACCAGACAGCCTCCTCTTGCTATAACCTTTCACATGTTCTTCTGTTCAATTGATTGGGGTTTTATAGGAAACCCTTCAATCACTGATGTCTAAAAGCTTGGCACAATGACTTGTGATCAACTGTAATTACTTCTTTGTTACGTGAAATAATTTATAGATCAGTAGGAACTTACATTTTCAGTCCTCAAGGACAGGTGTTCCCTCAGCTTCACAAATTACTCATTTCATTGCTTAATATGTCTGGTCTATGCCAAAAATGCTTTAGAGAATTTTTTAAAAATACAGGACTGGGGCTTTCCAGGGTTAGGGTTCAGGTTTCCTGACATAATCTATAAAATACTGTGTATGAGTACCTAGTACTGTACAAATGCAAGTGCTTCAAACTTGAGTATTCCTTGGATAAATGATACCAAGTTTCTAAATGTCTCCCCTTACCAGGGATACCTCTTGATTCCAGAGCTGTCTGTTCATGTAGTTTCACAGTTCTCTATAGAACTTGTCAGACTCTAGACAGGGAATGGAAAAGTCAGTCAGGGCTCCCTGGAAGGAGCTTCAGTAGGTTTTGCTTTACTATTAAAATGGGTACTGATTGGCTGCCAGTTGTTCAAAAGCTTTAGTTCTTTTTCTTTCCCTGAGAAAATGGAATCGGTCAATGACTCTTCATACTTTAAGCCTGTAGGCCCGTGCATGTTTCCTGTTAATCTGAGACCTCCACACGGATGCCCTGGTATGGTGCACCAGATAACAAAAGTCGTTGCATTAGGTCTATTAATTCACTAATCCATTATTGATTCCCACAGTGAAATAAAAATGAGAAACCTTCATTCTGAAATATCAGTCCTGGTGTAGAGAGGAGCTATGAGCCTAGTGTGCCTGAATGGAATATAAATGCTGAGAAACTCATTTGAAATGGTGCAGGATAGCTTTCTCAAAAAGCACATGATCCAACAAAGGGGCTCATAAGAAATATAGTTAGGGTTAAATTATTGAACCTGCCTCTAGGACTTTGTGTATTAATCTCAACATACAGCTAACCTTCATTGTGATCATTTATGTCATAATGAAAAATACAGAACTGCTTTACTGATTAAACATCTTTTAAAGCATGAAGGAAAGCTGGAAAAATAATACTTTTCAATTTCTGTGAGAGCTGCAGGTTCTGTATATGGGAACACAGAGTCATTATGTATTGTTCTGTATAATGGTTTTCTAGACATCAGTTTGTAGTTGGAGGCTGCACTTTATCTGCGCTGTGTGATAGTCATTAGACTCATTTTTCCTCTTTTCAGTAAAAACACTTTAATAAAATTTTTCCCTGTCCCTCTGGGTAACTGCCTCAGTAAGATACTTTGTCCTATGACTAAATACTAAGCCTAATACGTAGCAGGACTAAAATATCAATGTAAACTTCAGAATATCATTGACTAATTATAACTTGGCACCCATGGGTCTCTTATTTTTAAGTTAGATTTACATCAGGCCATGCGATACCAGAATATACAGTAAATTATTCTGCTTCTTTCTGTGATGGAAGCTGACATAATTCAAAGAAAAAGAGACCTTCAGAAAAACATACAATTACTTTGTTGACATTTTTCCTGTGAATTTTCAGTGAAACATTACAACCTTCCCTACATTTGTACTTTAGTAAGTAGCAAAAAATAGAAAGGAATAGAATGTTATCCTTGAACTGTATCCAATTTAGTATAAGACATGCAAACCAAAAAACATAACCTTCATTGTTCCCTATTTGACGTTCAACTGCTTTTTACCAACTTGTTAATCTTATCATTTTGTGTCATCTTGTTAATCTTAATATGACAAGTTTCATGCATATATTGGTATATCATTAACCAGTCTGGATATAACTACATTCTTGGATGGGAAATTCAGTTCTCTATAGAAATATTACTGTGTCTATAAGAAGCAGAAACATCATGAAAATTAAATTAATTCTGTACCATGCAAACTACAAAGGAAGAAAGAGAGATTGATTCCATTCAAAAGAAAGAAACTAAGAAAATATTTGCTTTATACTTTTCAGCAAAGAGCTAACCAATACTTGTTATATTTTGCTTTCTAATTTCTGCACAAACACTAATCTAATTGGATTACACATCAGCATACAGTGCTTGGCACAGTTTTCAGATTTTGTTGCTTTAAAGCCTAAAAGTAACAATTAATATTTGTTATATACACGACCTACTCCACACATTCTAAGCAAAAACAAATAAGTAACTTTATAATTAATATGAATGAAAAATGGAAAGGTGATGATAGCATAAGATTCAAACCCTTTCCTGTGCAAATGGAAATGAATTTACATGCACAGTATTACTGTACCTGCGCGAGCCACCTACAGTAATTAATGGTTTCAGAAAACGTGCATTTGGCCACGTAGTGAATTTCAGGCAAAGACTCAACCATGAAAACTAAAGCACTTTCAAATCAAGTCACAGGTTAAGTCTTTGAAAAGCACAGATATGGAAAAGGGACCACAAAAGGTTGAAGTCTTTGAATACCTGCATGAACACAGTATAATATGGGGAGAGTTCTTTTTCAATGGTATTTGCTATTAAAACCTATACATTTATATTCCTAAAAGAGCAACATGCTTATTGCATATGCAGTTTAGCAGTTTCTAGGAAATCACATTATATTAAATTGATTGAATTTAAGTTTCTTGCATATTTTATTTTTCCTGCAAAATCTGGATTTTACATGAAGACATCCATCCATTTGATCCAATTGAAGGTCACTGGGGTGTCAGAGCCTATCCCAGGAAGCAAACCTGGATGACATGCCAGTCCATTACAGTGCAGACAGACACAAACACAGACACACCACACCAGTTCGTTTAGATAGGGTATGTCTTCGGATTGTGGGAAGAAACTGAAGTGAGCAGTGAAAACCCATGCAAATTCAGGGAATTACATACAAACTCCATGCCGACAGCACCTCAGCTCTGGAATTGAACCCAACACTGCGAAGAACAACGTTAACCACCGTGTCACTAACTGCCCAATTTAGCCTTTGTTATAATGACAAAAAAGTGGCAGCACACATTTTTCTTTTGAGTAAAAATAGTATCAGTTCATTGTTTTTACAACGTTTTCAAACTCCAGGACAGAAAAAAAAATGAGCCAACTTAAATTTAGGTCACACAAACATAAATTATTCAGCAGTAATGGAAGTGTCAGGTGTCATTAAAACTTTACTTTGTTATTTTTTTCCTGTGATTTTTATAATATAAAGTTATAATATACATGTGTATAAAATGATTTATAAAAAAACTAGGTAAACTTCTTATGGGCCCATCCACAATTTCAACAAGAAAACCAATAATCAAACTCTTAAGAAATTATGCAATTTGTGCAATTTAAGCAATCCAAGCAATCTTTTAAATGACAGTAATAGAAGGTTTTTAGATATTTCCTGACACATAAACTGCTGATTAATAGATTTTGATCTTTGGGGAAGGCAAACCTGAAACATTCTTGTCACTAACATCATACATGCAATTATGAACTTGTGTCAGTGCCTGCCATCCTGAAATTTCTAGATGATTAATATTTATCAACAGGAGGCCCATAATAGAGAACCTTTGTGAATTGCCATGGATAGCTTGAGATAAAATCCAGTATGAGAAGAGTTATTAATCCTGCTGTAACACATTTAATTTGCATTTTTTCATTTTCCAATTACCGCACAATGTAACTTCAAAACACCAGGTGTAATGTCATTCATCGACAGCTAACCTTATGCGTAGCTATCCTCATGGTGCTCTCTGCACCACCCAGATTACTGCCGAAAAAACAGATATGGTGGAAAACCACACAACTTTTTAAGAGGAAAGAACATAATGTCCTGCAAAATCATATATTAACACAATAATTCAGCTAAAAATATCACTGAGGGTGCTGGACTACATTGACTGCGTTACATGCAATGATTAGTGCAGGTAGTCTCATCATTGTTTCATACAGTATGACACGTGTCTGGACTATAAAACATTCGGGGATGAAACTAGTTGCACTGCCTCTCCTCCAGTTCTTGGTACATAGTCTTGACTATAGTCACACATTGCTCTTGAGCACATACTGTACAGTTCTTTGCATTCAGACATATGGTGTCTGCACAACAGTATACACTTCTTCTTGTCTTTAGATAGCTTGTTAATGGACAGACTTAACACACTGGTGTTGTGACTAGGGCTATGTGTCATTTTTCCACCATGATCACGTTTTGCACATTCTCCTTCCTATGACCATTTGTCAGAGGTCACGGGCAATCATCCAAAGGATAACCGATTGATGAGGCACCTGCAGGTTAGATAGGAAGACTTCATCTGATGACACCACGACCAATCACCAATCGTGATTTCCTGGTTTAAAAGATACTGCAGAGCCCACCTTATGTGCTTGCTCAATCATTCCCCCTGTCTCTCTCGAACATTGCAATCTGTCATCCACCACTTGACTGCAGCCACTGCTCTCCGTGTCCGGACTTTAACTTCAGTTCTCAAGGCTGAGAGAGTGCGGCCAATCCATAAAACATGATGTAGCACAATATTCTCTCCATGTTATTGTGCTTGATCAACAAAATTCATTAAGTTGAACCCTTTGGTCAAGTCTAAATATCGGAGCATATGTATGAACAGTGCTAAACCTGGGATAAACCTGGGAGTTCCCATCTCACTTACGGCCAGACCCAAGCCAGACGCTGTGCTCAGACCGTTTTAAGGACGGAAGGTCAGTACCATGCTGATGAATCCCGATGAGCAGTCTTCGGCTGCAGCTCAGCTCGGTCTCTCCCTCTGCGTCCAGGTGAGAAACTGGCACAGACCCAGCCACCTGAAGCAGAGCAGACCACTGGGACCCAACCCAACCCAATCCTGTCTTCCTTTTCACGAAAGGCTTGGCCAGTGAATCTTTAGAGAGTATAAAATGTGTTATTCAAAAGTTAAACTGTTAATACAAATACATTTTTCATCAAGTTTAGTTCACAATAGTAAATGAATATTTAATAGCCACTGGCCATGGCTAAACCTGCACTGGATACAAGGGTCATTACTGTCTGGGCTATTCCTCCCACTAATTCTGACCTATCTCTGCAAACATGTGAAAAATGGCATCTTCAAACAATTTTTTTTCGTTTAGTCTTACATTTTAAAATTCTCATATTAGAGATAAGACAGATATAAAGCCAAATACTCCTGTTTTAAACAGATGCATATATCCTTGTGTACATAAATGTCTTCATTATATTTATTCTAAACTTGGATATGCACCAGAATTTATATTTTTTTTAACGCTGGCTACTCTTTTAATGTTTCACCATCTGCTATTCCCATTTCAAATAGTCAACCGATTCCGTTTATTACTTCACAGTAACCTCGTTGGTGGAAAAGGATGAAATGGGAGAATGAAGTCACCTTGCAATACGGCAAATGTTTTGGAGGTGGAAAATGGCTTTCACCTACTTTGTGTATCATGTCCTGATATTCGAATTTAGACGCTGATTCAGATGCAAAGATTTTTCTAAGACTCTAAACAAGCAGAAAAGTAAAAAAAGTGAGTAAAATTTAGAAGGAGAGGACTGTATAATTGTTAATGCAAATCCATGGAGATATCACTACTCACAGCACCCTAACAGAATATCCTGTTATTCTGTAGCAGAATTCTGTAGCAGAATTCTCCTGCCAGACCTCTGGGACAAACATGGACAGTGTCTTCATTGTCAAGTGCTCTTGTTGTCCAGAAGAAGAACATTAAGCAAAGTAGAAGGCAAGCATTCTTTTAGAGTTAATCTCAACCTGTGAGGCATGGTAATTTTACAGGTAGATCTTTAAATGGGTCTCTCATATGGTTCTGAATTGTGAAAATAACACCCTGGAGTGTAAACGATTAAGCTTTTATTAATGTTCACAAAGGAGAAAGTGTTATTGCATTTGTTTGCACTACAATTAAAAACGTATATGATAGCTTGGTACAATTGCAGTGATTTGTCAAAATCAGTAAAACAACCATGTGTACTTTAATGAGGTCAGTTTATTTTGTGTTGAAAGAGAGCTCCGCAGTAATTTTAGTTCCATGTCTGTCACTTTGCTCGTCTTCGTCTGAACAACATATACTGTATATACAGTATAAATTACATGGCTCACACTCCACACTGCTTTATATGATAAATGTTTGACCACATAAAAACACGTTTCCACTCACAAAAGAGCAGAAAAGTGTGCACAGTTTATCAACAGTTACAATACTGAGCATTGGACTAGGATAACCCTTCCTCGTTAAAAAATTAATAAAGTAATATGTGACTGACCACTTCTAACATCAATATCTTCTCCCCGATGTCTCATTCTTTTTCCCGCTACCTTAGATCACTGGGTTTCAAACTTCAGCAACAGTGACTTGTACCCTGCAAAGGCACATTGTGCCAACTATCCCACTGCCAGGCTAAGGTCCAGGGTGCATGCCGGTGGCAGACAAGTTGGGGTACTCCGACAGCCATAGGTCCATCCAAAATGGCGTTTGCCTGTTGTTGTTCTGAATTTCCACACATGCAGAAGTTGGAATGATGGCTTCAGTACGGAGTCCACTTTAGGAAGAGGAAGTTCTGGAAGCAGGAGCTTAATATTGGCACCATACTTCACAAAGTCACATGGTGAGAGGTTTGATTTGATGGTGTTGTTCATGTAGTACTGGCCTGTAGGTCTGCCTGAGCTCTGTCTTGATGTGGTGGAGCAATCCTTCCCACACAGTTACATGGTCATCACTGCTCCAGTAGCCTCACTATCTGTGTCTCTCCAGAGAATTGTCAGCATATCTTTTGCTGCAGTGCCTCCATAGCTCCATTCATCCGTTCTGAATCGCCTTTCAACCGTAAGAAAACCTGAGACTCACTGATGTTATTTCCAGTTACATACCCATTGCAAACTGCCTTTATCCTAGTCTGGGGCGTGCAAAAGTCTCCTAGTTCTCCCCCCAAACAACCAAACATACTGAGGAAGTTTGTTAACCGCCCAGACCAAGAGATACACCTGGCTTCTCTCAAGCAGTATTGGAGCTCGGCTGCATTTGGATTATAGTGACGCAGTCTATATCTGCTAAGGTCTTTGTGTCTGTTAATTCTTATTTCCTTCATTACTGGTTCTTGAACTTCACTTAGACTGTTCTTATTTAGCACATCCACACTGACAATTAGCACATCAGTTATAGACTGATGTCTTTTAGAAACACCTGAAGCACTGTTCACATCTAGACCTATGCTAACCACTTGTTGTACTAAAAACTCGAATGCTTTACATCTGCACAGCACGTTATCCATGTACTGTACTAATTCATACCAATCAAATGTGCTGTCACTTATTGTCTACCCCTCTGCATCCCAAGTGTTCACTCCCTGAATTTTCCTTTTGATATGAGCATAGCCTGCCTAATCAAAGGGCCGTACTGAGCACCACAACATGGTTATTTCAGATCAGGTTTATAAACGCTGCAACCCTGAAAATCACATCTGTATGCCATGTACCATTCTTCAGACATCACCACAATCAGTTCTAATTTCCATAAATTACTGTGAGCAGTATGTATTTTGACAGGCTGAAAGACCCCTGTGTTATGATTCTGGATTTAATCAAAAGACAGTTTAGAACACAGCCAGTTTCATTTACTACTTAATTAGCCCAGTGGTGTGGGTACAGCCTAGGCAAGATGGAAGGCAGAGCTCTGAGCTTGGAAAATGTAGCATTTATCAGAGATGTTCTCAGAAGAAAGCTTGTGTTGAGTCAATGGACTGTTTATCTTGTTTCTTTTATACACAGTTGTGTGTGTGAGAGAAGCATTTGGCTCTCAAAATGTTGTTGACTTAATTTGGATGTTATTTTTTTAATAAACAAACATGAGAAATACTGCTAAGAAATACAATAGGTGTTCTTCCCTTACATCATTGCTAATCTCTGCTATGCATGTAATTACATACAAATACAGTAAAAACATGAAATGTGGGTACATGTTAGTAGATATGCAAACTAAGTCATTTAATTAAACATTTAATGTATTTTAATGCAATGTTTCCCAAAAAAGTATTATCTATGTGCTGATATAATAATCTCTCTTGTTCAGACTGGATACACAAAAAATGCCGAGTTCCAGCCTGCTGTTCTGGAATGAGTTGTAAGACCTCTTTCTCCTTTGTTCCTCTGAGTTCTTATCTTACAGTGTTCCATTTTGATTTATAATTGTAACATTCTCCTGGGCCAAAAGTTGGCAATTTCTTTTGTAATTAACAAACTGTGATGAATTAAAGATACATATCAAAATGGAAGCCAGTGGTGTGTGAAACAGGTTAATTAGTTTCCCATTTAGAGTGATTTATTAAAAGTAGGTTCAGAAGCATGGCTCTGTCCTGTATATTAAATGAAAAAAAGTCTGCAAATGGTGACTTTTGAATCCTTCCCATATTAAACCAACATTAAATTATATTTAAGGAATTGAATAATAATGTACTATAAAATATAATTACTTAGCATTAAGCTACTATTTACAGACATGTTGCACTATGTACTCAAGCTTCCTATATCATTTTTTTTGTGGATTCGTAGTCTAAAGAAAAGATATGTTTAACTGTGGTCAGAAGATCTGAGGAAGGCCTCCATCATGCTGATCAAAGAAATGTAATGTTTAAGGTGAAGTGCAAATCACATGCAAAATCATTTGGACAACATTATGCATCATAAAGTCATGTTTAATCCTAGTGTCATCAATTAAAGACCTCCAAGTCTTAATTTAAATTAAAAAAACAATGCATTTGCTACCATGAATAATGTGAGACAGCAGAATAAAAAGTATTTTTCTCTGAATCCCTTGAAATGGAATCATTCTCCCGGCAGTTTGATTATTGTTTAGATCGTACAAAAATGTTCTATTGTTGAGAATGTACACAGTGAAAGGCTTTAGCTGCGCATGCCGTACCTTCAATCTGTGGTGAAAATGGTGGTGAATAATCTTATTACACATATTGATAAGTATCATTATGCAAATTAACACAACACACCAAAATACCATCAAAAACAACCCCCAGATCCAAATTCCTGCTTTAGAATCATTCGTACAGAACATTGGACACAACCAAAATGAGAAAAAAATCAATTAATATTCCAGCACATTAGTAGTTCTCAATGTGGAAGAATTACTTGCTAAAACATGGATATTTGTCTCTCTTAATTATGAAAAATGTTTTTGTTGAATGAATACGCCTTTTGTACATATTTATGAGAGCATAACCTATTTTAGTTGTAGTTTTAACCTTTTGTCAGTAAACACATCGAAAATGGATTTTGAGGATTTAAGCTTTAGTATGAGGGGTTTATTATTTGGAAAATACAAAAGACACAGAACATTATCTCATATGTAAACAGACACTTTTAAATCAGCATCCTTTATACAAATGTACACAACATACAAAGTAAATATGGTATGTCAGTATTTCATGGCTATCTTTTTCAAGTTTAAACAAGGTAGCAAACTCTCTATCATTTCAGTGATTTGCAGAGAATGCCAATAGATTAACTGACAGTGTGAGTTTAAACTTAATTAAAGAAAATAAAGTTTACTGCAATTCTGATATTAGATACACACAAAACAGAACAAAAGTGAGGAAGCCTTTTGAGACCAGAGTTCAGACTAATTTATGTTATACCCAGTGACAAAAGAATCACTGACTTATCACTTTACTTATCATGTAATACTGTATAAGTAAAAAAGCTAAATCAACAGAACTAACAGTGCTAAAAGAACAGAGATTTCTACAGAGGAAAGGAGTAAATTCACAAAATACTGAACAGGCCCATATTTATTGCATAGTATGAACTGAGCTAGAGCTCATTTAAAAGGCAGTGTCTATTTACTTATGTGAAAATTGTCTCATATTGTATATGCATATTTATCCACTTATAAAGGCTGAAAAGAAACTTTTTACAGCAGAAATGGACACAAAAATATAGGAATATTTTACCAGTACAATGAGTGTTATAGTCATATTTCACGTGGAACGTATTTCACAACAGGCAAAAGAATAGCCTTACACAGTAATTTAGAAACACCTGAAAAAGAAGAATATATGCAAATGAAGAAAAAGAAGGATTCTATTTAGGAGTTAAGGAAAGGTGGTGGTTAATTACATGCTGAAAAGTAGAAAGAAGAAAAAACTACAGTATAATTTGGCTTTCTTTAGGTATGTCACTAGTCAAATGAATTTAAAGTGTATGAGATGTGCATCATTTAAATTTTTTTCAAAAGAATGATGGCAAACGAGTGATTTTTAGCATGCCCTGTCAATGTTAATGTGCATATTGACAGAATAGTGTTCTAGTAACACATGCTTGCAGTCCCTAGGGCTAACATGCTGTTGCTCCAGAAATCCCCTGGCATGCAGAGAGAAAATGACGGTTTATATTTCTTTGGATAAAACTGAAAACATAAAACCTATTTTTCAATGGAATAATGACTCATTTAGAAATGTTGCTCTTAATAATATTACTGGTTCTTTCCTCCAACAAATTTTATTCAGGTTAACACACACCTAAAAATCATGGTAGGTAGGTGCATCCTACTTTTGTGTCCTACATTGATTTAATGTCTCTGTAGTATAAATGAAAGAAAAGCAGTTATTTTTCCATAACAATTTCTTAAGCCAGAGCATCGATAAAAATCAGTTTCTGTTTACCATCGTTAAAGTACACATTCCATGTTGTATATTAAGAGAGAAAAAAAGCATTAATCACATTACAGACATTTTTGATGACAATAGAGTAGCATGGGATATATCTTTCTGAGCATTCAAAAATAATTTTAACATTCCTGTAGCATCTAGCTACCTACCTGCATCAAGGGATAAGTTATAACTCCAGTACAACAAATTGTTCTTTTGTACCAGTTAGGCACTAACAGCAAAATAACTAAATATAAATAAAATTATTACTCAAAATTTAAAGCATTTCAGTAAGGAATTAAGAAATGTCAGGAGTTCTTCATCATAGCCTGTCATGACTGTCAACATTGCAGAATTCAGAATACAGTTTCAGTAAGTCCCCACTATAAAATATACATTTAAGCACTGATAATGCATGGTCAAAGACTCATACATGCAGAAATACATAGCTGTTGAAAAATGTTGGTGTTCCTTATTTGCATTGAAGTCTATTAGTCAAACACTTCTAATATAACAAAAATGTCCAGCTCTTTGAAAAAGCAAAAAAATTGCTTGAAGACATTTCAGACTTCCCTGAAAAATGAAATACATAAACATGGTTTAACATATTTTTTCATGTCATTCCTGCAATGAAATGATTGCTGATTTTTCCTTATAAAGGTTACATAGAAGAAAAGAAAATAGAACAAACTGGACATCTGATAATGATTTCAAAATTCAACTTTTTATCTTAATACCTCCATTACTGACTACAAGACTAAGGATTGCAGATATTCTGAAATACAGGATAATGCTTAGTTTAAACAGTTTAATGGTTCTTTTCATGTGATGAAAACAAAAATAGAGAGCTATGTTTCTTAAATGTCTGAATGTGACAAAACATACTGATACAAATTCAAATACAAATACAACAAAAACATTTTACTGTGTGTGAAAAAGCTGTACTGCATCTGAAGTTATGGCATTTATTACTGTTCCACAAACACTTTTTTATTGATATCTCCTTTTTCTAAGGTGGACAACCCGCGGGTTGTGAAAATCAGGACTAACAGATCACATGTCTCAGCATATTGTTCAGACATGTAAGCAACACTCCATTGAAAAATAGCATTGTGTAAAAGCTTAGAGAGCAGTCCCATTGTAATCTATCACACAACATCAAACAGCGACTGTGTTTGATGGCCTAAACGGACCTTCAAAATAAAGAGGTGATGGGTTTGCCGCACATTTAATTACTCAACAAATAAACAAATATTGATCCCATTTTATATTTGGTCACATCGTGATAATTTGTAAGTCTTTATTTGACTCAAAGTGCTTTTAAAATTTTTTTTTCAAGCAGGGCATTTCAAAAACGCCCACAGGCGCCGCCATGTGTTGTAAACGTTGGTCTTCACGGCCAGTTGAATGTCCTGCCAGTGATCTGATAAAACTTCTGATTGAAGGGGTGAAAGAACTTCCGCAGCTTTGTGACAACAGAGGGGTCCACGTCCGGGTGTATTCTCCCCTTGCTACCAGCCAGGCACTTGTTAAAGACAATGTTAAATCGCAGGCAGTAGAAGCCTCGGGTAACATTAAAATATAAGTTATACTGGCTAATTCTCGGAGGGAGATTTAGGAACTGTTCAACGAGCTGCAGCTCGGGCAGGGGATCCGTTATAAGCTTGTCACCGTCCACAATGTGGAACTGCTCGATAGGAAAGTACTTCAGCCACCTCTCCAAATGTTTGGTGTAAATGCTGGTTCGTACCGCTTTGTATTTTGTGTTCACGTCACAGGTGTTAGTATCAATGGCGAGTTTCTCGAACTTGTAGTACGTCTTATTCTTCCTTTCCTTCCCCTCCAGCACTTGCGTGTAATCTGAAATGGCTCTCGTCGTGGGTTCCCGCACGATAATTAGCAGCTTGACGGACGAGTTCATTTTAAAGATGCGCTCGGGGACTTCCTCGGTGATGAAGTAGGCGGGGCTTTTCTCTATCGTGATTTGGTGGGGGAAGGAAAAGGGCATCTTCCCTCGGTACCACTCGATGCCCTTGGCGTAGTTTTGGTCGTTGTCGAAGAAGTGGATTTCCTGCGAGGCTTTGACCACCGCAGGGTGGAGGTTCAGCATTTCCAGGAGCGCCCTTGTGCCCCCTTTCCGTACTCCGATGATTATGGCCCGGGGGAGCTGCTGCACCAGGTTGTGGAGGCGGATCTGCTCCTTCGTGGCGTTCCCCTTGCGGAGCTCGTGCAGGAGGCCGCGCTTGTACTGCAGCGTGCGCAGCGGGATCTGTTCTGGGAGCTGAGGCGCCAGTCTGCTGTCTATGGGGCAAACCGGCTGCAGCCTGTTCGACAGAAAGAAGCGTACAACTGATTCACCACGGAATGAGATTATGAACGGTGTGTAGTCTTGAAGAACAAGCACACAAGCAAAACAGAAAAGCACTGTAACAATTCCCAATAACATGGGTTTTGAAGCTGCTCAGATCAGTGGTGCTACATACAAACAAGTGGTGTCAGAAAGGTCTGTAATTTACGTACTCAGATTATCGTTTTGACCACTGGAGCATTACTGAAGCGTGAATGCAATATTTGTAATCCATGCCTAAATTCATGGTCCTATTGGCATCATCCGTTATGACTAATGCTGCTTTGCTCTTTTCGTGGTCATTAAAGGCTGGGCTTTTCAAAGCTTGAACAACGTGTAGTCATCAAACTTTTGTGCATGGAAGAATGTGCTCCATACCTAATTCATAGACACGTGGATGCTGTGTTAGGGAAGGCTGGCTCTCACCGTTGTACAGCGCCAGAGTTTAAGCTTAATTTTAGACACTCTCCTCCCCAGAAACATTCACCCAAAAGAGACTGGTAATTCTGTTGGAATCCTTTTCCCTGAGCATCTAGGCATTCACAAGAGTGGTATAGTGAAGTCAAGAAAAGAGTCGCTGGAGCTCGTAAGCATCCGATCCCTGGAAGTGTGTGTCTTGTCTGGTTAATTTTGATCAGTAATGGGTTCACCACTGGTTTTCTGAGAGATAGACTTAATTAATAGGGCATGCTGAGAATTAAAGTCCAGAAAATATTATAATTTTGATATCAAAGCAGCAAAACCTTTTGGATGCCGCTTGCCATCACACACATAAAGTGTGTTTTTATACTCCTTAAAAAACTGAGTAAGTTGTAAACTTGTGAACAGGGGCTTTATAAAAAAATGAACAAAGTTTTTTTGTGCTTTACTTGTATTGTCGCATCATGTTGTCAGTTTAGACCATGCTGTCTTAAGACCAAACATTAAAAAAGAAAGTTATACATTTAGTCACGATACAAACCTATCCAAGCTCCCAACTCTGGCAACTAGATACAAGAGACTTCCAATAGCAAGGCTCCCCAGCACTAACAGCTTCTGTCTCAGCAACGCCTGCTGTTTGAATAGCATGGCCCTCCATCAATCTTCAGTACTACGTCTTCAGCCTGTAGAGATCAGAGCACATAAACCACTAATCACCAAGTGGAAAAAGACAGGTTCATGTTTATTAACAGACACTCAATCAATTGCTACAAGTGATTAAGCCACACTCACAAAATCTTTTAAAGTGCAGCATTGCCATTAGCTGAGATGGTTTTAGCAAGCTCCTACATCTAATCCAGTGAAATATGGGACATCTTGTCCCACGTGAGTCCCGACAGTATCTTTTTTCAGGTCATAAATCCACAATGTATAATGTTAATTTTTTTTCTACATCAGATCAAGCTGGACTACTATATTGTACAAATAACACTGTGTGATCTAACTCTCTGCAAGTGTAAATGACAAATAGACTCATCAAGGCATTTTTATGGAGTGCTGGATGACTCCAGAAATATGAAAACAAAAGCTGGGAGTAAGAGTAGATAAATCCTAAATCTCGCATACACAACCACAACAACAATAATAACAGTCTACGCAGATAACAGAAATAAATATCATGAGAATCAGAGATAGTAGGGTTCTAATGAAATTACCACATGCAAAGACCCAATTATGCTGGAATGCACATATACCATATGCAGAGATTCTAAGACTAAAATGTTATGAGAATATGACCTTTCCAGCATGGTCTACTTGCCGTGAAGATACAGCTTTAGAATGTGCTGTTAATCAGCATCCTGACCTGATGTACAGCAGAGCCTCAAGAGATTCAGAAAAAGGTCTGGAGGTACATACAGTAGTATAGAACCATTAAAGCTACTGTAAGTAATTAAATAATTAATCAAAGCATGTATCACCTGCCCAATGCTATATCATGTGACCACGATTCTACTGATTTACCTCAAGGGATAGCTAGTTTAATGGTTTTCATGGTACAGTAATAGTGTGACACGTTTCACTGTGTATCTTTATTGGGTAATTTCACCGCAGTTATGAGCCACGAATATGGATCAGACTCGACTTGACAATTTTGCGTTTCCAAAAATCCTGCTACTGACATTTGAATTTAACAGTCTCCTTCAGACTCCTAACATGACTAGATGTCATGAACTACAGGAATCAGCAGCAACAATGTACAGTCGTGGCATTGTGTTATTGAGATCAGTCTTCATTTTGTTAGAAGAACACATTTAAGAAATACGATCAATATTACCCCACCACAGCACTGTTTTTAATTCTTTATATGCTTTATAGGAACTACAGCAAAATGCATCTTAACCATTAGATCATAATAATTACATCAATGGGAGAGAGATTATTAGCAACAACCGTGATTTTCTGTTTTCTTATGTCCTCTGACACAAAGGTAAGGAAAATACTGTACATATCAAATGCAAGCCTGTGAATAAACACACTGCACTTGAGCACTTTAGTCAATTCTGTGTGTTACAATACACAACCTGTTCCTACAAAATGGCTTTGAAATCCTTTAATAAAAATCTGTTACATTTTTTATTGTTCACAATTTATTTCATAAATAATATACAAATATATTTAAAAAAAACAATGTCATAAATTCCAAACAACATTTAAAATCTTTCTATTAATTATTTTAGTTATTTGGTATTTTATTTTCCAACTGTATACATGAATAAGAGGCATGAAATTAATCAAATGATATAAGCAGGACTGGTGAGATATACTGTATAGAGCATCCCATTGTTTCTTACTTCACTATTACTTAGGTGAACTCTTTAAGGTAGTTTTATTGCTATGTGCAGCCTCACACAATACTTATTCATGTTGTGTGAATACCCCAATGCTGTTCAGAGGATTTATTAAGTGAATTTGTACTACTATGCAAACAAATAACTACTGTGATTCTTCACAATGCCAAAATGAAAGACCTTAAAGAATTGACTGAATACGTGAAAGAACTTCCCCTGTAGGGGGCGCACTAGCACCATTCATCAATTACTGAATTCCTGGAACAATGCCTTATATAATGACATCACTACAAGATTTCCTAGTATGAAAACATACATACAGATTAATAACAGCAGTATCTGTGGAAGAATTCAATAAAATATAGGCTACACATTGTGAAAAATTAATATTAAAAAAGGCACGTCTTGTTCATGCCGCTCAATCAGTCCAACAGTAGCAAAAAAAGCACAACAGATTGTTTCCATTTCCAACCAATTGATCAAAAAAATATTTTCCTAAAACTGTGCTTTAATTCTACCAGAGCATTAACTTCAAAAGGATGATGACACGTATAGTACTTATATTCCATAGCCCAATTCACAATTTGACTTTTTTCTGTTGCTCTGTTGCAACTGCTTGCGCCTGGAAAGGAAACTGTGTTTCCTGCTCAAGGCTACATTATATTGTAGAACTCCACAGAATGAGAAGGTGGCACAGAAGTACTACTTTTGTTATATTAAACGATGAAGATGCTTGTGATTTATTAAGCCGATCATCTTCAAAAATATTTTAAAAATTCTAAATCACTTTGAAAAATTTCATTTTAACACCTGCCTAAGACTACTGCTGACTACTACTATAAACCAACTTCTAATACACTTGATTATGTAATACACTCATTATATGAAACACACATTGCACCTGTAGTTTGTTAATAATCCAAACAAATCTTAAAAATAGGTCTGCTTTGAGAGTGTCCTACTGTATTATCACTAACACCATATACTGTACCAGTATAAGTAGAATTGTTGTAATAGGTTAAAATAAAGATTGAAAATGTGTTATAAAAGCAGTTAAAATGTTATCTGTCTGAATATACAATTGTGGCCTTAGGCTGGTACCTTATTCAGTAAGATGCCCTTTTCAGATTAAATGTTTTATTACACTTTGTGACTGGGGATTCACAGACATCGGAGTGAAGCAACCAATTTAAAAATCTGACTATTTGGGTGAAAGTTGCAATCACAGGCTCAAAGGTTCAGCAGCAAGGAGTGTAGTCAGTCTTTCCTGTAGTAATAGCTGAATTACAGAATTTTTTATAAAGCTAAACGGACATTCCATGTAATACTATTAAAATATGCCTGACACTTATAGACCACAGTTGAGACATGAAACAATCCTCCTTAACAAAACATTCTCAAAACTGTTCTGGAAAATATCCAGATATACTGTATCTTGCAAATTGAGACATCCAGAATGACTGAAATTGAACAATTAAATAAAGCATCTCTAAAAACAGGACTAAAGTTCTGTGATATTGGTGCTATGGATGATGTCTCCAAGGGACTGAATTGGTGCCACTTTATTTAAATCATTCTGTTCACCCAGAAATTTGTTTACGTTATTTATTTTCTAATGCTTCACTCTTAATCCTCCATGTCTCCAGTTTCACTAACGTTGTTTGTTGGAGCTGTTTCTTAATTCCTTAATTGATTACACTGTTTTGAAAGCACTGAAAATTTGGTGCTGTAAATTGCAGCTGCTATAATCTAATTGTGATAATTAAGTGCCTTATGCCATTCGACAATGCAGTGTAGGCAGGCTTTTAAGAATGTGGGGTGTGCCTCGGAACTCTCATATTTTCAATTGTGTTTGTATCTTGTGACACATTTAATTATCAGCATGCAATGATGTGCTGTTTTTAAATAGGTCAAGGGAGTTGGTCTGTATGGGTGACCTTTGTAGCCACTGATTTAAACCACCTGTAGCTGCCATCTCCCAGGACATCCTAATGAAAGGCCTCAATGCCAAAACGAGAGACCTTAAAGTGGCATCTACAGTACATTTTAACTGTTACCCACAGCAACGTTACAGAAAATGTCTCAGAGGACTGGGTGACATTAATGTTTCAAGAACACAGGCAAAAGGTTCTACACTGCTGTGTTCAGCTTGAAAGAAACTTACAACCTTGAACATAAAGACATGTTCTAATGTAGCTCTTAAAGGCTTTTAATTACTACATCCATCAATTTTATTCTATTTTTGCATTTTCTAGAGAAACTGCTATTAAGCATGTCCTGTCCTTTTTTTCTTCTGTGGTAAACAAGAAAATGTCAAAATGTTAAGAATTGAAAGAGCAATGCAATGATTTGGTTATCAAAAGCCACAGTAAAGAACACTGTTGCAATTAAAAACATGAAAAAACACTTACTATGTAGAACACTCAACAAAGGATAAAGAGTGTGTTGAGCATAGTAAGTTTATAGGTTAATAGATAAAAGAGAGGAAAGAATGTAGAATGTTTCTCAAATCATTTGCATTGCTGCTTCACAAAATCTTTTTTTTTCCATGGTTGTGTGGAAAATCACAGAAGATACTTTTTTCTTTTACTTCATCTTCTTACTCACCTTACAGTATCACATTTTTTAGTGCATTTTTTATTTTCAGTAACTTAATTAAACCTGCCTGTACAGGCTTCTGAATAAAATTGCTTCTTGTCAGTGGTAAGGTCTTGAATAGTCTCTGCAGTATAGTATTTTGTATACAATAGCTGCTTGTACACGACTAGCAAACATTTTTATTTAACCTTGAGAATTCTATTCAATAATGTAGTCCATGCATTTCTGAGTTCCAAAAATTGAAAACGTTTAATTCTGGTACATAATACATAGAAATATAATATATGGTAATATTAGAATATATAAGATTATAAACATATAATAATAAACAGTCATAACGAGCTGGCTACATCTAATTTCATAATCTTATGTTTTAGATTAAGATTAAATTGCTATATATAAAAGACCTAGACAAATTGGTCTCAACCCCAATACATCACTTTTCCTGTTAGCCTTAGCTATACAGTATCATTTGAGTGCGTTGAAGGAAAGAAAGAAAAATATGAATTATTCACCACTGAGAAGTTTATTATTATTGATCTTGGCTTTTTCACTTGAGAATGATCATAGGTTCTGCTTTGAGGTTATACCAAATTCTCATCACAGTTCCTCACTTTAGTTCGGCCATCTTGTGATATTACACATACATTATTTATTGTCTTGAACTGTCCTCTGGCACCGTCATGTCTATAGAGCTTTATTTATTCATTTGTACATTACTGGATCTCCTGCTTGAG